GTCAGTTGATACCCAGAACAACCAATGGTCATGGAGTGTGTGGATTTCTTAACGAAAGTAATATTAGCTTAATCACTTCACTGCTCCCTCCAGGTCACTTATCTTTTCCACTCTAACTCCTCTGACATATTACAATAGCAATTTGCCAAAGATTATGTGTTTGTAACCCTTAACGGAAATCAGCCCCCCTTTTTACTCCTTTGTTACCTTGTTGCAAAGTAGTTCTGTACTATTAAATGGTTTAAACTAGTCAGTAGTTGGTTCATCTTGGTGTTTCCAGTCTATTTGGTTTAACATGAGGCAGGTTTAAGTTAGTTTTCCTTTACTTTAGAGCCATAACTAACAACTCCAGTTCTAAGACTTGAATTTCTTTTGCATATTGCCAAATTTCTAATTCTTTGCTTGGTCATTTTCTAGCTGTCTGTACTTAAAAATATTAATTCAGTGTTTTAGTTACTAATTCATGAATTAAAAATACTATGTGTATAGTTGACCCTCATCCCCACCTGCTTGTGCTTATGTGCTGCTATGTTATCTCACCATACTGCTTTTCAGCACAGCAGCCCATGCACACTAAACGTATTTCTGCTCAGCATTTTATTGCATCTTTTCCTTCCATGTGCAGTGAATGATGCATAACCTTTATGGGCACAGTGGAAGGGCAGGAGGACGTGCCCTGGGGTCAAGAAGGGACAGCAGCTCACTACCCATCTGCTCATGGGTAACAGGAAGCCTCACCCTCAGGTGTTGTTACTGCAGGAACAGTTCTGGCATGATGTGCTGCTTTTAAAACAATGCCTGGCTTCTTTCTTTATTCCTGCTCATTGCCAGGAAATGACAATTGAACAATTAAGGCCCAAAGCAGAGAGGGTTTAGCAAATCATGAACTGTTTTTGATTTGCCTCATTAAGCTGCTGTTAACTACTTAAAGCCATCTGCTTAAAAATAATTTACCCATCTTAAGTTTGCTCTAGAGAGCAGGTAGATCTTCATTAGAGCAAGTTTTGTTATTAATGTTATCTTTAGGGGGCTTTCAGTTGTTGTGGAAAATATTCTGTTGCTTACTGAGCTATCACTCTAAACAAAAGGAAGCGGCACATGTTTGTAACACGAGAATGAGCTATGTGAATGCCTACTCTCCCTATTATCTACTGCCATCCCCAAAAATGAGTCTTGGAGAGGAAGAGCAGCCAGATCCATCACAGTGCTTCAGCTGTAATTGTGAAGGAGGAGCCCTGCAGCCTGTGCTCTCAACAGCTAGCTGTGCAAAAACAAGTTGATTTGTCTCCCTGGGTTTGTAAAGAAACAATTTCACTGACAAAGAACAAATCACCAGAGACTCTCCCTCCTATCTTGAGCTGAGATTCATTGTCATTTCAGTTAGAGAGTATGCACACTCCTTTCTGACCTGCTCTGTAATTCTGTAGTTTGCTGGGTTCTTGTAAGAGTAGACTGTTTCAACAGTGTGCTAAGATCATTTGGAGTGAAACTAGCTTTAGAAATATTAGATAACTGATGGTGTGAGAATTTAAGAGAAGATCTTCCATTCAGTCTGTGGGAAAGAGGTGGACATGTTTTTTTGAGTATTAGCTGAGACACGATATATGACTAAAATTTGACTAAATGTAGATCTTTTCATCAATAAATTAAAACCTCATTAAAATATGTCTATGAAATTGATTTTTTCCCCAGTTGTATGCTGTTTATGGAAAATGGCAATATTGAACAGGGTACAAAGCTTTTGAAGTAGCTGAGCAAAAGTGGTACTGTGAATGTTAAATATGTCTTTCTATTAAGATTATATTTGGCTCTTTCTGGCAAGGAGGAAGCCTTCAACTGACAGACAGACTACAGACTAACAGCACAGATTTGCACAAAGCATACTTTCAAATGTGTGAAAAACCAGGGCTTTGGGGGATTACTCTTGATGGCAGTAGTTGAAGGTATTCTTTGCAAACGTGGCTACTGTACAGTTTAAAGTATGACTTCCCAGGGAATCCTTGACTGGAATCCTTTTGTGTTTGCCCAGTCATCTGGGCCTACGTCTGAAAAAGTGGGGAATGAAAAATGTATCTTAATTTGTCTTGATTGGAAGGAATGAGCGTTAGAAGAATGTATACATGTCACTGAAGAGAATATGTGGCATCTGCTGTATTTGATATGCCCCCATATTCTGTTCTCTTTGCTATATTTATCTTAATCTGGAAAGATTTCACTGTGAAACACTTCTTCCAGTAAAAACCTATAGATTACATAGAAATAATCAAATAATTCATGTAGATCAAATATATAATAAAAATGAAATCCATTTTTTTAATTTGCAAAATACAATATTTGAAATATAATGATTACCTTCACAGCTGTCTACTGAAGAGTACCCAGTGCCAAGATGCTATTGTAAGCTCAGTTACTCAAATCACGAGGTGTTCCTTCTTAGTACTCTGGATTGACATACACGGTTAGCACTGATTGAAAAACTTTTGTGAGCAAAACGTTTTGAGTTGAGCTGAGTTAAAACTCTGAATCCATCTGAGCTGTAGTTCAATAAGCAGAAGAGAGTGATAAGCACTATGGACCTTCTGATGATAAGTTTGGGTAGGGGCCTTGCTTATAGGAGAGAATGATTGATACGTGACGACCCAGATCTGTCGGTTTCAGCAGCTATGTATTTGCTATGTCTTTAGCATGTGCACTGCAGGTGAGAGCAAGTTGTCAAAGTCCTGCAGTCTGTCACAAAAAGACTGCTTTAATTTTCAGTCATTTCTAGTTACAGTCCTTACACAGAGTGCAGCAAATCTTCCTTCAGCAACACCTTCTCATGCTAGCACAAGACCTGAAGGAGGTCTTGCAGGGTGCAGTTAAGTCAGCTGTAGAAGCTGGAAACCTTGCTGTGCTTAAACCTCAAGAGAGGAGTCTTGCAAAGCAGTAGTTGAGAGCTGGAATCAGGTATGCAAAATGGGAATAAAGAAAGCACTGCTGCTGGGAGCGGTAAGGCTCTCAGAAGCCCTTAGCCTTACCATATTAGCTTTTCACTTCCTGAGTAGGAGGAGGATCTCTGTCTGAGATGCTCATGCAGCTCTGTTGTTTGAATGCATCAAGAAGATGCAGAAAAGGCTGTCTAGAAGATGGTTCTGAGTCCTTTGTGTGCTGATGCTACTGATTTCTGTGTTCTCTGTACTTCCATCTAAGTTGAGAAGCAATGTGGAGGAAGAAAAGAGCTGCTGACAGGAGAGACAGACAGTTCTCAAATGACTGCCTGAAGGAAGTAGACATGAAGTGGGGTGTGTTTCTGATAACTGACTTTGGAAACTCACCTGGAACATGGATTTCTCTGATTAGGACATAAAGCTTTTCACTCATCTCCCTGCTCATTGCTGTCCTGAGCCCAGCTGGAGCTGCTGCAAGATGAGCCCTGCTTGAGGGTTCAGCAACCCTGTCCTGTCTGGGGACTGAGTGCATCTGAGAGAGAAACCTGGCAGAGGAGCAATGCTGACTCCAGTGACAGAGCTGAGCTGGGGAGGAGGCAGCAGCTTAACAGGAGTTGTTTTAAACTGTCCCTGAGCAGTGCTGACACCAGTTGTAACTTTGAAGTCTTGGGGTGGTTTGTTTATTCACCTGTGAATGCAATTGTGCATTAGAGGAGTCATGTCTAGCCCTTGCCTTTGTGGAATAAAGTGGCTCATGACCTGCATGTTCTCTTACAGCTCAGAGCTAGAAAGCTTATGAAAACTCATTGCAGCTAAGTCACTGAGTAGCTGGGTGTGAAAAGGCTGTCTAGAAGATACTGCCATAGATGAGCATGAAGTCATTTGCTGCATATTCACAACCCTAAGCCAACTGGAAAGGCTACAGGCTTTCCATTTGGTTCTTCCTTTGTTTAGAAACTCATTGGTGAGTAGCAGAGGAATCAAGAGGCTAGGAGCATCTACCAGCTCTAACCTCCTATTCACATCTTCAAGAGACAATCAGGAATGCAGGGGAAGGACAGTGCTTGGACAGCAAAGGCACAGGAAGAGAGCTCCAGACCTCTTTTGTACACCTGCATCCCAGAAAGGCTGTGAATGATACGACTTTTTGGAGGTCCTTTGGAAAAGGAAGTATCGTATCTTTGTTTCACCCAATAAAAGGGAACTTGAGTGAGCATAACAGCCGTGTTTAGGGCAGTGAATTTCTGGTATTGTGACAGAGTTGGTCTTAAACGTTTCCTTGGCCTAGGTTGAGCAGACTAAGACTGTTCTGGTGCCAGTGTTTTGTGGGCTGTAACATTGGGAAAGAAAAGATTATGTGCTGTTCTGGTTAGAGTCACTCTCATACTGTGAGTGTATTGCTTTTTGAATGAAGGGGGTACCGAGGGAGTACTTGCTGTGGTTGGCATAGGAGCTCTGAGACTGACTCACCCCATCAGCAGGCTTTTTGTGGGAATGTATGATAGTTCACCAGAGAGGAATGTAGGTAGTCCTCACCTACCCCTCTCTGTGTAAGAGCTACCTACATGTGTGAGCTATTCTGTCAGCACAGAATGGCAATGTCTTTGCTTGTGAAAGTAAATACCTTGTTGGAAATAAAAAGCTCCTGGAAAGATAGGATTTGGTGTAGTTCATGGCTGTTCATAGCCAGCCACATGGCCTGATTGTATTGTGGATACAGAGATCTTACGGGGGGGGATGATTTACTTTTTTATATATATATAAAAGATTTTAAGCCCCAGCAGCAAAACAGTCGAGTTCTGTAGAATGAAGGAAAAACAGAGGTTCAACTGATTTTTGGTGTGAGGGATAGCCTGTGCAGAATGACAGCGAACACATAAAGCAGGTGCCATACCTAGCAAGTAACTTTGGAGGGGAAAGGGGATATGGTGCCGCTTTGTCCTGCTAAGCAGGCTTGAAATATTGGTAACGCTACAACAGTAGACCTTAACACCTTAAGTTTCTATTTTGAATAAATTTAAGGTGTTATTATATAACAAATTCAGCTCTTTTTCTTTTTTTTTTCTCTTACAGATCACACATCCGTGGGCGGGCTGGGAGACAGTTTTTATGAATATTTATTGAAAGCCTGGCTTATGTCAGACAAGATGGACACGGAGGCAAGAAAAATGTACGACGATGCCATTGAGGTGATTATAATTCATGGAGTTTTCCCATACAGTTGAACTGCAGAACCATCTTTAATACTTTAAACTAAAAACAACCAACCCAAAACACCCCAACCAAAGCACTCCCAGGACTGGTTTTGATTATGTAAGCTTTAAGAAATCAAGTGGTGAATAATACTAGCTTTCACTCTCACTAGTTTTAAGAAGTGTTATTGTGGAATACATCTGATGCAGACAGTTGTGCTAAAAATAATCAGCTTGTCCAAAATTGTATAATCTAAATGCCCAAGGTACGGTTTATTAGGAAGAGATCGAAAAGCCCTAAGATGTCTGCAGAACAACCAAGTCACTTCTTTCCAGTGTTCTGAATCACTCTAAGGGTTGAAGTTCTGAATTGTTTTATTTATTTTACAAAATATTTAGAGGTTTTATTCCATATTTATGTTGTAAAATGTAGTTCATACCTATTCCTTGCTCTGTGGTTCTTTTGTGATGTGATCTTGCTCCCTCTCACACATAAGTAGTGCTTGCCCAAGCACAGTAGCACTGAAGGATAGTTCAGTGGGATTTGGGGTAGTGGCCTTTTAGTGATGGCTCTGAACTTTATGCTGCCCAGCTCTTACTTTCTTATAGTTTTCCCATACACAGGCATCTTCTTTCATCAGGCTTGCTTGTGCCAACATGCCGGTGCTACAGTTAAGACATGTGGAGAGTAACTAAGCTGGTTTTAATCAAGTTGGCTGTGGTACCAATAGCAGCAGGGTCTTGTCCAAGTGCAGATGTGTGCTTGGTGCCTAACTTGTTCCATGATCTCTGCATGCTGTGCTTCTTCAACACAAGCTCCTAAAGCAAAAAACACCTAAAAAATCACATTTTAAAATATATATAGTGAAAGTTCTAGTCTCAAATTGCTTTGAAGCTGTAATATATCTTATTCCTGACCTGAATTTGATTCATTTGATTTTCAGATACTTGACCTTTTTTCTCCCCTATATTGTTTTCCATGGTTATCTGCATTATGTAGCTGGTGGCTAACCAAGGTGTGACACACATTCTCTCATAAAAGAGATGCATTATTTTCTTGAGTCTCACAATATAAAGGAGATTTTGAGTTAAGTTATTTCTTAAGCTTTTTCCTAAGTACTTTCCAGTATCTTCAGTATGGAGACAAGAATGTAATGGTTCAACACCTGATTTCTCCTCCATATTCCCTTCTTCAGCCAGCCAAGAGCTGTGTTTGCACTCTTAACCTTTGCCTCAGTGTCATCTGCTTTCCACTTGGTTTTGCTCTGAAGTTGATTATAGTCATTTTGATTTACTGCTTTCCTGCTACTGTGATTTACATTCATGGTTCCTTGATGTGTGATTCCTACTAAAACACAATTGTTCAGGCAAAACCCACTTTGTTCCCTGTTCTGAATGATTTTACAAGACTGACTTTTCCTTTATTACTATCTATAGCTCCATCAATTTTTGTGTCATCTGCACATTTCTTTTAGCATTTATTTCTTGCAGATTGTTGGTAAAAATGCTGCCTAGCATTGCATAGAGGTGTTTTTGCAGAATCTTCATGGGATGAGGACTTTTCACAGTTGTTGGTTTCACTTTGAACTGTTCTAGCACACCAACTTTTAATCCACTTCATATGTGCTGCCTTGAATTCATTTAGGACTAATATTTTATACAATACCAAGGAAATTCCTGAAATTCCTACTATTCCAGATATCAGTATGCACTTGTCAAACAAACATTCATTGTATATGATTGTTCCATTAGCCTTTTAAGATACTCTTAAAGCACCAGCTATTTTCCAGTCCTTTTGAATTTTCTTAGCTTTCCAGGCTTTGTTGAAGTCAACATTAGTGGTTCAAAACATTAGTTGAGTGCTTTTAATAGTCTAAAATACAGTTTATTGGGTCCCATTGGTTTACAAATATATAGCAGTTGGTGTATAACATCCATTGTGATTATTTCATCCTCTCCATTGTAAGCCCAGTCTTGCAAACATTATGTATGGACAGATCTCTCTGTCTCTGAACGGAAACACAGTAAAGCAATTTGGGACCAGTAAAACACACTGTGGAGAGAAGGGAGAAGGAACTGAGCCGTTCCCACTTCATTTGTGATATGACCTGCAGTGCAAACCACTAAATGGTTTCCTTTTCAGCTTTCCCTCAGCGAAACCTACCCATTGGAATCTCTGTGAACCATACTGATCTATGCATTGTGGAACTATGTGTTCATGCCTTATACAAGCGCAGGTAGATGAAACCAGTCACTCTACCCTTACTCACAAATGCTGCAGCCCCATCATAGAAGGCCACCGAACTGGTCAGGCACAGTTTGCCCTTAGTGAAGCCATGTTGGCTGTCACCAATCACCCTTATTTTCCATGTGCCTTAGCATGGTTTCCAGGAGTATCTGCTCCATGAACCAGGTGAGACTGACTGGCCTGAAGTTCTGCAGGTCTTCCTTTTTTCCATTTTGAAAAACAGGGGTTATGTTTCACCCTTTCCAGTCAGTAGGAAGTTCCACAGACTGCCACAGCTTCTCAGATATGATGGATAGTGGCTTAGCCAGTTCGCTCTGGACCCACAGATACATCTCATCAGGTCCCATATACTTTTGCACCTTCAGGTTCCTTAGATGATCTTGAAGCTGATCTTCTCCTACAGCAGGCGGTTCATTTTCCCAGTCCTGCCTTTGCCTTCTGCAACTTGGGTGGTGTGGCTGGAGCACTTGCTGGTGAAGGCTGAGGCAAAAACATCATTGGGTACCATAGCCTTCTCCACATCCAGGGTAACCAGGTCTCCCATTTTCTGCTGGAGAGGGCCCACATTTTCCCTCATGGTCCTTTTTATTATCCCCATTGTACTTACAGAAGCTTTCTTTGTTGTCCCTGACATCCCTGGCCAGATTTAATTCTGTCAGGTCTTCAGCCTCCTAACCTGATATATGGCTGCCAGCTTACTCATTGGAGTGGCTGGAATTCCTTTGTGCTGATGCACAAAGAGCTGGTGCTCTCCTGCTGACCCCGTGACCCCTCTGCAAGCTCTGGGCATCTCTTGCTGGCAATCAAACTGATAGGAGCAGGATTGATTGAGATTCCCCTGCCCCAGCAACTTTAGTTTAAAGCCCCATGTTTCTCAAAGCAAGTCCCATGGTCTAAGTAGCTGAACCCCTGTCTGCAGCACCAGTCCTGTAACCATTGTTAAATGGCCAGATTTGACCGGCCTTTTTAAATCCCTTCCCAGTGACCAGAAGGACTGATGAGAAAGCTCCCTGTGCTCCAGAGTCCCTTACTGCTCCTCCCAGGGCTCTGTGGAAAGCCATGGTACCAATGCCAATGTGCATGATTGTTGGACAACCACTCTGGCAGCTGGCAGAGACGGACTGTGTTCTGCTCTGTCAGTGGCTTCTGTGTTCTCTCTGCACCGTGCACCTGGCTGAAGGACTTCCTTGTTACCAGATACTGATGGGTTCAGTACAGCTGCTCTAACAGTCCTGTATCACTGAAGTATACCTACTACAGCCACAGAAAGGCCTTGGAACTTTTCATTTGTCCATGTTATTGAAAGCAAAACAATCTCAACGGTTTTTATTTTGAGGGGAAAGCTATTTCACTTTCTGCTTTTGAACCTGAATTACAGGTTGCAAGCTGATTAATCTGTGTACTTACTGCTTGATTCTTTATTGTTGCAAACTTCATAGTTGGCACTGTGTAGGTAACAAGGAGACAAGGATGTGCAGCAGACATGACCTCCACATCCACAAAAGTCTCTTAAGTTACGTGCAGGATCCTCTGCCTGGATGTTCTCAGTATATCTAAGTATATCTAAGCTTCAGTGCAAATGGCTGTGGGCATTTGGGGTGTAATTTGTTGTAGATACCAGAAAATTAATGAAGAGGGATAGTAATTCATTTCTGTAATAGATCTTGTGGATGGCAAGGAGAGCAGAAAATACCTTTTTAAAGGCACTTTAATCCTTCAGCTCCAGTCAGCCTTGGAGTACTCTACCAGTCATGTGCTTCAAAGGAAGTTGTGAACCCATTAGATGGCTTTGTGTGGAAGTACTAAAGAGATTTCTGGAAAGAAGATAGGAATAATGTCTCCATGGTGAAAAGATAATTGTCTTTACTATTATAGATCTCAATTGTAACAAGATTCGAGGTAAAAAAAAACCCCAAAAAACTGTCTAATGCTTAAGATAGTATTTCAGTAGATTGGTGGGGATTGTAAACCTCCCTGAAAGAGGCTTAAGTAAATATGTTGTTTCACATAGCTTGAGAACTTCATAATGTTAGGTCAGCTATTCTCCTTCCTACTACCAGAAGAATGCCATTGACAAGCCACAAGCAACAATATAGGTACAAATGTGCAAAGAAGGCAGCAGTTGCCTCACCAAAAATATTGCTGACCAAAACATTCCAATGCGGATGTATCTTATGAGTACACACAGACTGTACAGCAGAACATATAGGTACTTCTCGGAGTTAACAGGTAGACAAACACTGTTTGAGTCATAAAATACATGCTGAATTCTCAGCTAAAAGTACAATTTTATCTATGTTGTTATTTTGCTGTGTTTGATCTCATTAGCATCTTTTAGCAGTTAGGATATGTCTTGTGTGCATTGAAATTATGTTCTTAGTTGTTTGCTCCTGAAGTGCTAAGAAGTGAATTTGAAAGAAGGGTTTTTTTTGTTGTGGTTTTAAAAACAGTACTTTATTCTTTGAAAGAAAGTTTAGTTACATAAAACAGTGCATGTGAAACAGTATCTGAAAGTTCTTTTAATCTTCTTGTAGGCCATAGAAAAGCATCTCATCAGAAAGTCCAATGGAGGACTGACCTTCATTGGGGAGTGGAAGAATGGGCACCTTGAAAGAAAGATGGGCCACTTGACCTGTTTTGCAGGGGGAATGTTTGCCCTTGGAGCAGATGGTTCCAGAGATGATAAAGCTGGACATTATTTGCAGCTTGGAGCTGAAATTGCACATACATGTCACGAGTCATATGACAGGACAAGTAAGATCTATTCCTAATCTAGTTATTTATTGTTAAAATAGTTAAAATACAGAGTTTATATATAGTTTTATATATATATATAACTATATATAACTGTATATAGTTATAATACAGTTAAAATACTAGTTAAATACAGAAATTGTTGTAATTATTTTTTAAGATGTGTTATGGACCCATGCCTTATCTAACATGCAGTGGTTTCTATACCAGTATAAATTTTGAACACCCACGTATTTAATTGTGATCTACATCATGGTGAGTAAACGTAAAAACAGATTGCATGTGGTTCCTTCCTGCATGTTTATCCCTATTTTTTGGATCAGTCAGCTAAGATAGGTGATATGAATGCAGAGAGGAAGGACTGTGCGTGGATTCCTGTCCTCCCAGATGTATAGGGCAGTTTTTCATTTCATATATACTGTTCTTACTGTTATGTAGAGTTATTTGTAAATACAGCTTTTACTAGTTTTACTAATAGTACATTCTGGGTAAGTACAATTAAACTGGAGAGAATGATGACTATTATGCAGACTGTGAGACAGCCAAAGACCTGACTAGTGGGGAGGCAATAACAGGCTTCACTGTTGAGCTGGAAGGTTCCCAAGTTCATCTTTTGGAAGAGGTTTATTTTGCATATTTTAATCGTGACCTCTGCATAAAGTTGAAGTGTGCTGATTGGAATGTGGCCATAAGATCATAAGACACAATTAAAACAGAAGAGCCTCAGAATAGCAAACAAAAAGATCTTGAGGGCTGGACTGTCAGAAGTAAGTTCACTAGTAAAAAAGGCAGGAACTCTTTCTCTAAACTGGGAGTTTAGAGGAACCTGCTCAGTGCAGTCCTCGTCTGTATCAGGTGAGGAATTTTCAACAGAGATTAGGGAATGTTAACACTGCCTTAGAAGACATGTATCATTTATCATCCAGAATGTGCTATACGAGTTTGAACTTCAAGCAGAACAAATGCAAACCAACAGAATTATTAGAGCAACAGAGTTTTTGTTTTACAGTGAAAAAATAAGACAGCTTGCCCTGCTCAGCCTCAAAAAATAATGCCAAAGAGGGAACTAAATCTGTTGTCATCTCAAGGGGTAAAGAGTGAAAAGAAAGAGTTATTTTAAGATATGAACTACACAGTTGTACCAAGAGCAAGATTTGTAAGCTTGCCATGAATAAATGTAGGTTGGAAATTGTAAATAGCTTTGTGTAGCCATCAGAGAAGTGAGCTTCTGGAATAACATCCTAGTAGAAGGAATGGTAACTAAAAATCAGTTTTAAAATGAGAATTCATGTGTTATTCACAGGATTATGTAATATCACTGTATAATTGCCTGTCATTTTAAAGAATTCAATCCCATAAGTGATGTTTTTACCTGGGTAGCAACAGCATTAATTAAAAAAAAAAAAAAAAGGAAGGAAAAAATAGGAGAATGCCTAAGGGAAAAGGTAGGAGACAGTGACTGTTGTTGCATTCTGAAAAGCTTAATTTAAATGTTTCATTTGACACTTAAAAGTAAGCACTGCCAAATTTACAGTTTTTTGTGCCCTCCTAATTTTATTCCTTCAGATGTTTCTTCTGTACCCTAAATAAGTCAGAAGATGGTGAGGGGTGGAAGTTAGGGTTGCATATTTAATGACTGAATAAGGACACACACATGCAGGAAGCAGTCTGGAAGCTGTACAGAGAGCTATACGTTTGCAGTGCCCTAGTTTTCTTTTGTTCAGTCCTGCAATCTCAGGAATGTGGGTTTTTTTTTTCTCCCTGGACTGTTTCTTCAAAGCAAATAAAGAATCATTACGTGCAAAATATCAACTTCATTATGCTTTAACAGCAGGATATGAGACAGAATTGTACACTTCAGTGCAGAGCTATCTGGCTGCAGAAAAACACTTTCTTTCAGAGGGTAGACAGTCAACCTGATTCAAATGATACCTTTATGTTTCAGCAAAGGGTAGAGCCTGATCTCTTTCTTTTCTTCTTTCATATTTGGAAGAGCTCTTTCCCCATTTGTTGTCCCCTGAGGAGTCAGCAAGGTGCTGAGGCTAGAGAGCTCTTTTCTTCAGATGAACCAGAGCTGTCTTTTCCTGTGTCTTCCCAGGGTTGCTTATAATAAACTGCAGTACATGCCTAGTGTTATATTTTAGTATAAGATTACTACATTATGAAACAACTTAAGCAGCACTAAGAAACATGGTAAAGGCATAAAATAACTGGTGATGCAAAGTCCATGAATGGTGAAAAAAAAAGGATGTCCAATGAAACCGAAATAACAGAGACCACTAACAAATCAACGTGAATAATGAGCATTCATAGGCATTGTAAAGGTTAGATTAATTAGCAAAATTATTTATATAGATGGCAGCATGTACTGGCTTATAGCACATGGTGTTTTTAGTAAAAGATATCATCCCTTACACATGAGGATTTTCCCAGCCATTAGCTGACAGTCAGTCAATCCTTTACATACTACAGACGGGCTATTTTAGGTTGAAGTTTTTTGCATGTCTTTAAGATTTCTTGAAGAACTGTCCTCAAATCTGGGTGCAGCTTTAGCTGGTTCATGTATGTGACAATTCCAATGCAGAATAAGCCAGATACTTAAGATTTCAGATGAGACATGGTAAGGGTATGAGTAGATGTTGTCTCTGTCCCAAGACTTTCAGTAAGCAGCTAAACAGGGAAAGATGGAAGACACAAGATAATTGAGAAGTATAAAGTAACAATGTATGTTGATGGGATGGTTCAGAAAGTCTCAATAAAAAAAGATCTTGTGTTTGTCTTCCTCAAATTTTATATGAAGTAAGCCCTAGAAACTATTATTATAATATTATGCAATAATAATAATAGTAGTTATTATTATTGCTATTATTATTATTACTTTCAGGAAAATTATTGCTAGATTGACTCTAGTCTTAAAGGAACATGCAAAAAAAAATTACACTGTTTTCAACATTATTTCTATAAGGAGATATATAGATATTTATCTAGAAGTCTGAGCATTTGCCCTTATTTTTAGCAGTTCTAAATACAGCTCTCATTGAAGTGTTACATCAGTTAAAATATCTTTTTAAATGGTACTAATTATCTTTGCAGTTTTGCACTATAATGTGAGTTGTTCTCATCTGCTCTCCCTGCCCAGCCTATCAGCCCCATTAATGCTAAAATACCTGGGTTAAAGTGTGACCACTATAGCATTGTAAAATGGCCTTAGGTAGTTGTTTGCTTAGAAGTATATTCTCCTGAAAGGTACTATGTTCACAGTAGATTCTTTACTTTAGTCAGCTATTAGTAGAAGTGCTGTGGTTAATTTTTCATCCTTGGTTTCAGGTAAAACTTCAGTGAGATTGTCACAATATATAGGGGTCACCCATCCTTGGGTGGCAGAATTTCTTGTAGTGCCCAATAACATTAGAAGTAGATCTGAGTAAATAAGTAAAGATCTAACGCACCATCAGGCTACAAAGCAAGTGAAGGTATCACAGTTCTGGAGGTTATGCATCACATGAATTACCTGAAATCCTGCTTTTTTGGTGGATAGGACTAATACAGCTGCATGGTTTGCCATTATTTCCAAAAGGCTTTTTCACAAGGCCCTTTAGGGATATTAAGCAGCTACTGCATAAACAGCAAGTACCTGCATGGAGAAAATAAGTGGTTGTAGTGTAACAAATAGGGTAGAGGTAAATAGCCAGGTCTTGCAATGGACAAATGGTACTTTGATACATATTTATACACGTGTGTGAACAGATGTCTATATATGTATAGTATATTTACATTTTATATTTTAATACATGCATTATGTGTATATAAATAAAAATATATGCATACTATCACAATATGGACTTATGCACAGCCACGGATGCTTCAAGGTGTACCTTCACCAGTGTAGATTTATCCTTGAGCCACAGTCCCTTCAGAGGTGTAACTACTGCAGCTCAGGCATAACTATAGCCATAGATGCTTCAAGATGTACTTACTTTGGGGTGGACTCATTCATGGCCATAGATGCTTAGGGACATGGTTTAGTGGTGGCAGTGCTGGGGGGAACAGTTGGACTTGATCTTAAAGGTATTTTCCAACCTGGTTGATTCTATGTACACACATATAAATAATTAGGAAAAGGGCAGGAACAGTAAGACAAAGATACTGATAATAATTCAAAAACTTATTCAAGATAGCAAGGATGAAAGAAAGGAGAAAAAATGCACAAAGATTTTATGAGGTTGAGTAATTCTATAATAAATTACTAAATTAAATCCTATGTAGTTAAATGTAGAGTGAGGAACCTGCAAAAAAACCTGCTTCCTAACCTCACATATAAAATGATGAGCTCTGAACAGGTCATTACAACTCAGAAAATTGCTCTTGAGATTATGAAAATGCCAGCTTAGTAGCAGTCAGGAAAAACAAAGTGAGAAAGAGCAAAATAGAAAATGTCATTATGTCACTATATTAACCTTGTCCACACTTTTAGTGCTGTATTCAGGCTGGTCCTCTCATTTCACAAATGATGTAGTAACATTGGAAGAATTGCAGAGAGAAAGGCTAGGAGGAAAACAAAAGATATGGAACAGTTTCCATTCAAAGAACAACTGAATTAGGTAGTATTCTTCCACGTGGAAAAGGCACATTTTAGGTAGGATGCAACAGATTTGCAACATCACCAGGGACTGGTGAGAGTGGATGGGAATCAGTTGTTCTCTCTCTTCTCCAAGGCAAGACCTACAGACTATTGAAGTCTAGCAGGGACCAAGCTGAAAGTGGAAAAGAACAAAAGTGGTTCTACACCAAAGAGATATTAGACATGTGGAATGCCTTAGCAGAGGTGTGTTTGGATGCTTAAGGCGTACACAGGTTTAAGGAAACATGGCTTACCCAGAGAAGCTGTGGCTGCCCTATCCCTGGCAGTGTTCAAGGCCAAGTGGATGGGACTTTGAGCAACCCGGTCTAGTGGAAGGTGTCCCTGCCCGTGGCAGGGGGTGTAACTGGATGATCTTAAGGTCCTTTCCGATCCAAACCATTCTGTGATTCTGTGAACCACCAGATAAATATTGGAAAATAAATCTATCCAAAATTATGCACCACATTCAAAAGTATGTCTAGTTTGGGAGGAACCTTGAGCTCAAAAAAACTGCAGACTGATAGAGAAGGTGAAAAAGGTCTCTCATATACTTGGCCCTTTCTTTCTCTTCCCCATCTGTGTCTGATTTTAGCCATTGTTGGAGAAATGATACTAGACCAGACAGATCTTCCATCTGGTCCAGGATGGCCATTCTTATCTTCTTAATTTTGGTTCGGTAAAACCCTGTGTCTAATCTCACTGATACTGCAGTAAAATTTGTACTTCTTTTTTTTTTTTTATACTGAAGCTGGTAAAATGGCCTATTTTTTAAGAAGTATTGTAACCATTTCTTGATGGAGTTTTCCTTTGCCATGCATGTAGCTAAAGTGTGAAGGGTAGTTCTTTTTCTCTATTGGCACCTGGAGCTGCAGTCCCCTTGAAACAAAAAGAATAGGGAACTCTTTGTTGGAGATGTTCTGCTGGGGCACACACTGGGGGTGCTCAGATTTTTCATTGTAGTATTCTAAGGTTCCCCTCTCTGACTCATGAGACCAAGGTTAATTGGAGCCTCTAGCCCGTAGGAATGACATGATTAATGGATTTGATAATATTTAAAGTTTGAGTACATCTTCAAAGTTCAGCACCTTAAAACCTGCTGAAGAGTGGAGTGCAGCTGTAGATAAGGGTGCATTTTTGAGGAATAATGTGTAGCTGTATAATAAAAAATGTATGTAATTGCGTCTTCATATTATAGACAGTTTCTCTACAGTGCCTCCTTAAGTGAGTAGACTTCCAGATGCTGGCACAAGGCTGTTAGAGCTTCTTTAAGGGCTGAAATAGTGAATCACTTAGTTCAGAGATTTATGTTCAGGTGTGGCTAAGTTTTCATTGCCTAGTTGGAAAACATTTACTTGAGGATCACATTACGAAGCACATCAGTTAGCACATTACTAGCATAAACCAAGAGAGTTTGGTTAAAGATGCAGGTTAATTCAGATGGTGGTACCTGGTTTTGTTGTTTTCCTGCTGACCTGGGTGGGATCAAAGGACATCAAACCTCTGCTGACTTTTTTTCCTTTTGTTGGTAAGAAGTGGTGTCAGTCACTTTAATTTTATCCTAGAATTGAATGTGTTAATGATGAATGTGTTTATATTCTTAGTGTTTCATTAGGTTTCAAGAGGATTACTGTGAAGATAGGTACTTTTCTCCCAGGAACTGGATAAATTATTCATAACAAATTATAGGCCTTAACAATAGGAAATACTTAGGAGGCTGCGTAAAGACAAGCTCATTTCTGTTTTCCTCACATGCTTGGGATCTAGCAGTCTCCTACCCACCCTTCCTGCACAGAGTTGTAAGGAATCATTGAATCATTTTTTTCTTCTGTCCTTTGCAGCATTAAAGCTGGGTCCAGAAGCATTCAAATTTGATGGTGGCGTAGAGGCAGTGGCTGTGCGGCAGAATGAGAAGTATTACATCCTAAGACCAGAGGTGATTGAGACCTACTGGTATATGTGGAGGTTTACCCACGATCCCAAGTACAGGCAGTGGGGCTGGGAGGCAACACAGGTAACTGTATTAATTATCTGTCCATGATTTAATTCCATGTATTTTTCTTTTGTAGCCACTTTAATCTCATGGTACTGAAACACTTCAAATGGTAATTGATTTTCACAAATTCCCATAAACCAGGATACATATGGGGGTGTGCACGTTATTCCTGTTTTTCAACTGCTGAACCAGATGCACAGATGAGAAATGCATTCAGCATTATACAGCTGATGAGGTTTAGGCATGGAAATAGAATCTACTAGTTATGACTTCTACTGTTATCTGTAGTCCACAGGCCCCTGGGAGAAGTAATTCATCTTGGGAAATGAAAGTGTATTATAAATAACTTTGCTAAGCATGTGTTCTCACTCAGATTAAAAACTAAGCTATCCTTAGAGTTTCTTCTTTGTCAGCTATCACACAGTGGTAGGACGACTGTTCTCAGATGGTTTGTAGACTACATAGCATGTACATATGTATATGTGGGTTGGTATCGTGGCTTTTTCTTTTCTTAGTTGTCTGACTGGAAGGAAAAAAATGCCAGTCATTTTAGATTTACCTAATTATAACAAAAATTACAGCATAAGAAGTAGATCATAAGTCAGTGAGTAATGGCATATAAGCAGAACATAAAAATTGTTGCTAAGGTACTTTAGAGATGGTTTTTTATCTGATTTCCTGGGTTTAAATCAGGTTGTTGAATGTTTTTCCTAAGTGCGAAAATGCTTCTTAGTCTTTCTCATTGGCAATGCTAGTACTGATCTACAGAAGCCTAGATTCATTGTTAGACACAGATCTGTGCTCATGGCCTTCCTTCATTCATCCTTTGTACTTAGATAACTCCTTCATCTGCCACTCATTTTTTATGTGCTATATGAATAACTAGGAAGCATTTTCACATAACAATGTAATATTCTATTTCCAGAAATTGTTTGTAATCCCCAAAAAGAGTTTGCCTTTTAAATGCTTCCGAGGGTTCAACTTGTGAGCCTGTGGGTCTCATCTTTCTCACTGCTTCCACCTGCTGGTCTGTGCTGGGCTTGTGCTAAACTGATTTGCTGGCCAAGCAGTTTTCTGGTCATCTTCAAGATCTGTGGATTAGTACAGCTCCTCTTCTTCCCTGCTACAGCTCCAGCCGTCTGTGAAAACACAGATCAAAGCCAGTTTCAGATATGAGAGTAAACGTTAAAGATATAACGACAATAATGAAATATTTTGACTACAGCCAAAGGCCATGAGGGAGAGCAAAGGAAGAGACGAACCAAGTGCCTGGAGAAACTTTATTCTGCAGGTTAAAACCAGCTTTGTTCCAGAGGCAAGAGACCCCAAAAAAGCACTTTGAGGAAAAGCTCTGTTGAGAAGCTTGTATTCATCAGGTGAAAGATAGTTAAGGAATCAGAGTATTTAGCTGAACTCATCTCTATCCTTCCCTCAGTGCAGTCACAACCACATAGAGAGTTCAAGTATTTTAACATTGTGTCCTAGTCTGCGTTAGGTTTTTCTCTGTAGGCTTTTTTGGTATAACTAACATTATGTTACTGTGGAGAGAGGTTCAATGTTTGTCACATTTGTGTTAGAGAATGCACTGCCTCCCTCTCCAAAGCATCAAACATGGAGTCAGATCGTCCCTCCTGCCCAAACTATGCATGTCTCTAATATGACAAACAAACAGATCTAGTAGCCTGATCCTTGCCCATGTGGGTACTACAAAGGCTTGCTGATGTAGCACCAGCTCCTGTCAGAAGCTATGGCTGAATGATCCAAGCAGAGACGGGGTCCTTTGTACTGTATTAAAGAATTCACAAATGTAATTTTTCAGGCCAGGATCTGTCTCTTAAGGACACTGCAAAGCATGTCTTTGAATTGTATTTTGTTCACTTTTCTCCATTTGCCTTCATGTTTGCAAACCAAACCCTCCCTCCCTCTCCCCCAGTCCTGCAGTTTTCTCTGTGTGCAAGGTATGATTTGTTTTATCCTTCTGTCAAGCTGTATTGAAGTTGTGTAAAGCAAGCAACCCATGTGCTGAACTAGCTCTGTTCTTACAGAGGGCCTTTTCTTACTTGCTTCCTCAATAAAAAAGTTTATTTGCCTAACATAGCCATAAAATATTCTTGTTCTCTTCAGAAATGGTTCTGCGTACCCCTCCCTCCCACAATTACAGTTTCTTACCCCACCATCATCCTAACACAGAAGCTTGGGAAGCTTTTTGTTCCCCAGGGTTTTCAGTTACCTGCATTTAGATAAGTTCTTGTGTTTACTCCTCACACCTACTCACCACTTTTCCTTTTTCCCTACCACACTGAGCTCTGGTTGTGTTTATTCCTCCTTTTATAAACAGAGAAGAATCTGGTATGGCACACAGAGCAGTTGGCTTGCTGCTCTTGTACAACACTGTGTTTGCTTTCCTTTTGCCTCAACCACTGAAACATTACTTGGAAGTCTGTATTGTGGTGAATGATAGTTTCCTCATCAGAAGTCTGGTTGTTCTTCTAAACTGTTGTGGAAACAGAGTTTTGTTTCTGAGTTCTAAATGGTCTTATTTTTCTACACTGAACATGGTCTAACTTCTTGTTTGATGCCCGACTTCTTGTTTGATGCCTGACTTCTTGGTGGTGTCTCTTGTTTGCTGGTTTGAATGGATGAATACATCCCAACCCAAATGGGTTTGGATTAGCTCACTGATATGTTAGGTGTCTGCTTCTGCCAATTTAAGAACTCCTTAGAGATGATCCAGGGTACATTGCAGAACCAACTGGCTTTTAAGTATACTGCATGACTGAGGTTTCGTTAACATTCCCAGCCCAGAGCTCTCTCTGCCTCTTTCTGCCTCTTACCAATGGGGATTTGCACAGAGGGCTGGATTGTGTGTGTATGCAGAGCTTTGTACTGTACTTTATCTCTTTCACAATTGGCAGCTTCTTTTTGGCCTTATAATCCAGATTTTTTCAACAAGATTGGGCAGTTTAGTACAGATGTGCTTCGACCAAGGCCTGTTTAGTCACATCGCGCCAAATACAGTGGCTGTGGGGAAGAAACAGGAAGTTGAATCTTGCATTCCCTCAATGAAGGGAATCAAGACTCTCTATCTCTTTCCTAATGAAAAAAAAAAGGCTAATTCTCCCTAATACTGTACTTAGCTAGAGACAGTACTACTGTACTAGAGACAATATCCATCTTATATTGGGCCAGCCAAATCGGATGATGGTGTGCTGGGGGGCTGGCTAAAGTATTACAGAAATATGCATGCAAGATATTCAGCTTAAATACAGAAAATTACTAAAATCCTTTTTAGGCTAATTATTTGAAAGCAGTAAGAGCCACCACTTTGCATTAGGTATGTAAAGCCAATTACTAATCTAAGCTGTGCAAATGAAGGGTTCAACCATTTGATGGGGACTTGCATGCCTGACAAAGTAAGGTTGCATCATGGAGGCTGCAAAGTTCAGTCAAGAGTTTCTGCTTACAGTGAAAATAATATAGAAGATCTCAAGTTCAGGCTAACTTCAGGCAAACTGGGGATTAACAGTAAGATGGAGTGGAAAGATCTATAGCTGTCTACTTAGTGAAGCCAAGAAGAGAGAAAAGAGCCAGGCATAGGTTGGAGGTGAAAGAAACACAGGTTCAGAGTTCATGGGTTGGAAGCCATGAGTACCACAGCTGGTGAGAAAGTAGCACAGTTTTTATGAGCATATTGTTGGCGTAGTCAAGAACCACCACACATGCAACCACAAAAACGTCCTCAGAGGAGCTGAGAGTGCTGGGGTCCGATCTAGAGGCACCTCCTATTTTATTTCTAAATAGCATAGATCAGCTGGCCCCCCTGTATGTCATAGCCCTGTGTGTCATTTTTGAGCTGAGATACATGTATTTGGCAAGAGCTCACTGTCTCATGTTCTGTTCTACTCTTGGTTTGAATAAAGGGAACTAGAAAATCCGCTGCTTCTCATAGATGGTTCCATGAATTAATTTGCTTATTATTATATATTATTTAATTACTGTTAAAAATGCATGCATTATTTCACATTTGAATTTGTCTAGTTTCAGCTGTCAGTCACTGGATTTTCCTGTGACTTCATATCCATATTGAAATGTCTTTTATTCCTTCATATTTTCTTTCCAAAGGGTTTTCCTATATTGTAATAAGCTTGCTACTGAGCCTACTTAAGTTGGTAAACAAATTCTATTGTCTCTCTCTGTGAAGCATTTTCTCCTCATGTCTGCACCCACGCCAGTTCATCATCCTTGCATGAAAATGAGTTCTAGGATTTCATATTCTGGTTTTGACTTTACCCACAGCCCTGTACAAAAGTCAAAAGATGTCCCTGCTCCTGTTTACTGTCCCTGTGTGTGCACCTGCCACAATATCCTAGCAGGAACTCAGACTGAATTGTCTCATGTGGCCACTGAATTCTTTGAAGTGTCTCTGTGTCTTGACTTTCCAGACTCATCTAGTTCTAAATCTGGACAGCCTTTCTGTCTAGATTTAGGGCTGTGTGCCTGATTATATGAAACTCACTTTGTTTGGGCTCCAGTTGCTAAGTACAAATTACACTGCTGTTATTTCCCTATGTCATTTTTGCCAGCGGTAATGTTGTAGTGGCTGATAAAACTTCAGACCTCTCCTCATGGATCTCTGTGGGAAGCAGCTCTGTTTGGTGATGATTTTATATTGCCAGTGTGTTCTTAGAGCACTGTCAGTCAGTTTTAAATTAAGATAGTGATATTGCTATGGTATAGTGCTGCTTTGTCTTAACATCTCTTGGTACCACGTCAATTGCTTTAAAACCTTGTCAAGTTTATTATGGCTCTGCAGTTCCCTTTATCTGTAAGTTTCGTAGACCTCAAAGAATGAGAGCAAGCCTGTGAGCAGGATAGTTTCCTGTAAAATCATGCTGATTTGTGTCAGTTGTACTCTTATTCTCCTATATTTTTTACATGTGTTTCTGTAGTTGTTTGGAACTAACATCAGGTGTGCTATCCTAAAATTATTCAGACTGGCAATGCCACATAATCGTAGCATTACCTTGATACCCTTCCAGTCATCGAGGACTTCTTTGTATTCTAGGGTTCAATAACGTTAGCATAGTTTTATCAAGGAGAGTGATCTTCAGCTGTTGAATGGAAGACTGTCTAGGTGGTAAATCAGATGCCTCTGCATTAAGTACTCTGAGATCTGTGAGAAGGCAGAACACTGCCAATTTGAAGTGCTTTTTAAGTAGCTTGCCTACAGCACCAAGCTTTTCAGCCAGTGTCCTTAAGTGCTGTACACCTCTGAATCGAGGACAGTCTGTTTATGCATTGGTAAATGAACACCTGTATAGCAATCATTCAGAGAACATTTCCTCTACAGTTCATTACCACTACCTGCAGTGTCTGGATCTCTCATAAACTAGGATAAATCCTCAGCCTGTCCTGAACTCCGGTCTAGCCAGAGGCTGTCTCCCCAAAGAGAAATTTCTGAAGATATAAGGCTACTTCATAATTGTAAGAGGGAGGGAATCAATATAAACCACACATTTCCTTTCTTCAGGTTCCTAGCCTGCTAGCTTCACCAGTCTTGCACTTAGTTATCCGAGACCTGTGCAGCACAGAGTGAGATCTCAGTGTTACCTGTTATCTACGCTTTCCAGAATAAGCAAGTTGTGTTTCCTATGCTCATTTGGGGATGTAATTCTTGAGGGGGAAGAAGACAGTGTCCTAACAAGGGAACTATGTGTTCCTTCTGTTAATTTTGCCCCCATCGTTGCGAGTTTCTCCTGTCTGAGCTGTGGCATGCAGCGTCAGGGTTGCCGAGTCACTGACCAGAGGTGCACCTTCAAGGTCAGACACTGCATGCTAGAAATTCTGGCAGGATTATAACCATTGGAGCTTTCCCCCCTTCTTGCTATGCTCAGAGCAGAGGCAAGGTCACATTCTACGGTGTTATAAACAAGGGGATAGTGACAGGAGGAGGCCTTCATTTCCTGCCTGGAAAGGAAAGCACTTTGGCTCTTGTTTATTCATATGACAACTGCCTAGCAGCAGTAGGATTTGTGGGAAGGAGCATGCAAATGGTTCCACAAGCAGCGTATGCATTAGTTCTGCGGAAGTCAGCCAAGCAATTACCTTTTTCCTTTGCCTTTCTTTCTTTCTTTTTTTTTGGGCTTGTTGTCTACCATGTGATATCCAGCATCAATTGTGCTGTGCATGAGCACGCAGACAAAGAGATCATCACACGTATGATGCTGTTGGGCTGGGTGTGTTGCGTACACCTTTCTGTCCAGACTGCAGAGAAAAACCTGGTCAAGCCAAATCCCAGCATGTGAATAGTCTCCATGTAGCCTGGACTGCACCAGTAACCACATCTGAAAAGAGCTCTTCCAGACACTTTTTCCTTTCAGGCTCAAGTCACAACAGAAAGGGAGCATTGCCATCTGAACTCGGAGAAAGCTCCACTGGAAATAAGGAATTACAGTGAGGATTCCAGCTTGCTAGGGAACACTATACCTTTCTTAGCATAAGCTCAGGCTCTACAGCCACAGCCATTCCTGTAACATCCTTTTGCCAGTGTCTGTTGCTTCCTTTTAAGGAAGGTTTTTAAACCTTCCGAATTTTGAAAGAACTCTGTACAGTCTGGGTTATTTTTGTTCTATGAACAACCTCACATTTCCACAGGGTGAGCGTGGAAAGTAAGTAAGTAACATCCTGCATACTAGCAGGAGGTTAGCTGTAGTACCTGATGTGCTGTGACTCACTGTCGTAGGTGCCTTCCTCAGCTGTCTTTTCACTTTTTCTTCTGATTTCAGTAATGGCATGTGCCAGCATTCTTTGTGTCTGCACTCAACAGAAAATTCTCCTTTGTTTCCCAATATTTCTAGTATGCAGAGGTTATAATAAGGACCTTGAAGAGTTAAGTTTGATTGAATTTGTTTTCTCTGCTTGCAAAGGGACATCACTCAAAACTTATTTGTTCCCCTGCCTTGATTCCCCTCGGCTTCTGTTGAGTATAACTGGCAAAAACCAGAATTAATTAAAATCTAGGCCTGAAGCACCATGCCGAAAAAACTTCATACAGGCTAACAGGCAGAATCATAGATTACTGAACCACATGTAGCTGTGTTCAGTAGCTGGTAATGACAGACATCCTGAACCAAATATTTTCCTTCATCACTGTGCCTTTTCTGTCCCTGCATGAATCTATTAAAAGAGTTGGCGTCTGCTGAGGAAGCACTGCCAGAGCAGCAGGGAAGCACAAATAACCTGTGAATCATTTCAGAGTTGTTTCTTTGGAGCTGGTTTTAATGGCTGATATCCTTGTGTGCTGTAAGGTCGTGCATGTGAGTGGAATAACGAAAGTGTAGGCGAGGGGTCCTCTGAGCTACTAACGCCTTCTTTCCAGTCTCCTCCTCTTCCATTGTGCTTTTTGCAGTACTGTGTTGCAGCTGACTAGCTGGGTGATTTGTGAATCATGGATCCATTGGCCCCTTTCTGCGTGGAATGTTTATGGAGTTAAGCTTGATGCTTTAAAGATTAAAGAGCTCTCCTGCAGCCCAGCACACAAGCTGACTAGAGCTTCCACTGTATAAAGGGGAACTGGAGAAGAGCACATGTAAGAGATGGAAATGTGGGGAGAGAACAGCAGCTAGAGAAGTTTGTAAGATGAGATCAGCAGTCCGTAAAGATGAGTACAGTATGGTTGGTGACAGCCAGCATGGCTTCACTAAGGGGAAATGCTGCCTGACCAGTTTGGTGGCCTTCTATGATGGGGCTACAGAACTGACGGCTAGGGGCAAAGCAGCTGATGTCGTCAGCCTGGACTTGTGCAAAGCATTCGAGACTGTTCTGCACAACATCCTTGTCTTTAAACTGAGAGACATGAATTTGGTGGATGGAGCCTTTAATGATCGAGCCTAAGCCTTTCATGTTTCCAGATTTTGCTCTACAATTAAATTCTCCTTTTCCTTTCCTCTTTGCAGGCAATTGACAAGTATTGCCGAGTCAGCGGTGGCTTTTCTGGTGTCAAGGATGTCTATTCCTCATCTCCTACATATGATGATGTACAGCAGAGTTTTTTCCTTGCTGAAACTTTGAAGTAAGTTCTCTTCACTCTTGCCTCTGACTCTAAAAGCTACCCACATGATTCAAGAAGAATGGGGTGGCTCAGCAAATAATCCCTTGTCTTGTCAGGGTGGTTTATGCATTGGGCTCTCTTTTCTTCCCAGCTTTAGGGTCCCAGATAGCCCTTCTACCAGCAGAAAATACAAGTGGAATTTCCCAAACAAGACACTTACACTGGGAGAGCTTTAGTTTTAAAGACAGATACACTGACTTGACATGTCACATACAAGTATGTGCTAAGCTCTGATATTGTAGAACATGTTTCTCCTCTGTGAGTCACTGGAAAGGAGTAAATGCATAGAACAGAAGTCCTTCATGCCCTTGAATGACTGTGTCCCATAATTTTTCTAGAATGCTTTTTTAGTGTAAGCAAGAGTTTCAGGCTTATTTTATAATCTCTTACATACTTACATGCATATTTTTCATTTTAGACAAATCAGTAGGGCATCTGTAGTCCACCCTGCATAAGCTAACACACTCCTGCATATTTGATTCAAGGTAAAAATGTTTAAAGTCATTCGTCTTCCACCATGCTTCTATTTAATAACAAGAAATGCTGTCGTAACCTCTGACTTACAGACATGATACAGCATAAAAAAACTAGCATAAAGATAGGCATATATTAGGGGGATTTTATTAAATCTGAGCTAGCGCGTACTCATCTCCTCCATCACTGACACAAACCAGCCATCACGAGCACTCTTGTCACATGGTTGTGATCACTCTGGGGTTTTGCCTGGAAAGCAGTGCCTTCTAATGTGTGACAATTTTCCTGATACCTAAGTTACGTCAGTAAATTTAGTTATATTGTTCTGGCATTGAAATCTACCAGGATTCCTGAATTACCTTCCTGAAACCTTGTGAATGGACTGCTTCTGGAAGAAAAGTGTCTGAGAGGGCTATATTCCCTACCCTTTATTTTTACTCCTGTGTAACACCTAGGAGAATGTTTTAGTTGGGTAAATTCATAGCCAGAAGCCACTGCTGGCAGTGTGAATGAAGCCAGAACTGCTATTAGGAGTTGTTGCTTCTGCTCATCTATCTACACCGCTTTATGCCGATGTGTGGTAGAAGGGATGATACACCACTTTGTCAGCAGCAGGGATGCATTGAGGTGCCCTTTCTGTCTTTACGACACAGTTGTATGACAAAGAAACAGTTGCAACCACTTGGCAGTCTTGCATGTCATGCAGGCTTGCAGAATAAACAGGGTTTCTATGCAGACTTTACAGTATCGGCAATCTTAAATGTTCAGGCTTTAGCTGAAGCTGTTGTATGTGAAGATTGATTTTGGGTATTGGGAGCTCAAAATGCAGCAGAGAGAAAGCAGGTCCTGAAAGTGGCAGTACGGGTGTCTGCTTCAGGCAACCGCAACATGTTTCACTGGCAAGACGGGGCTCTGAGTTCATTGTGTAAAGGGGAGTCTGGCTATTCTGTTCTTGTCTCCTTACCAAATTGCTCTCCATGGTCAGAATCCTTTGTTACCCCATGTTATCATTATAAAAAGGAAGCCACTGCTGCTTCCTCTGTTGTCTAATTTTATTTCACTTACTCTTTCATTTTCTGGAGACAAAAAGCTGTACTCCCAGAGAGAGAGGCAGCAGTTTCAAATGGGTCCAGTCAGAGAAGCAATACCTCCCCAGGAGCTGATCTGATGTGATAGATCTGCCTATAAAAGCTAAATTGGAGAATGAAATCTGCTCCTAAGGGACTTCGTGGTGACAAGGCTGACCTTTGAAGTATCACCAGAATCCTGTCTGCATCTTAAATAATCACAAGGGTATCTGAAAGTTCACTGATGCATCACTCAGATATACTGCAGTGAAATCACTGTAGAAGAAGACAGTTCTAGGAAAGAACTCAGAAATTTTTATTGACTTTTGGTTTGGGTCACTTCCTATTTGTGAAACAAAACAAAGTTTTATCGAAGAGCTCGGTGTTAGATGCCTGATGTTTATGCGATTGGCATAGCCAAACCAGAAACTGGTATCACCTTGGGATAAAATAGAGAACATGAGGTCAGGATAGCGCAGATGGCAATGAAAATAAAGGCAGAAGGATTGGGTGTAATGCCATAAGGAAAATGAAAATGTCCCTCAGAAGGGGGGCATAAAATGTGTGTTATGGAATGCCTACAGTGATCTTTTCTGCTGTGGTAAATTCTGCATCTGTGTTTCCCTGAAATTCAAAATCGATACCTCTGCCAAACATGCTCTGTTGCTGCTTGGATACTTTGGCTCAGCACATATACTGGGCAAATTATGGGAGTTTGGCCAGTAGGAGTGGCAAGAAGGTAGCTATTGAGTGGGAAGGAGCAAGATGTAGAAATAGGTTGCTAAGTTATTCAAAGGAAAAATGTGAATCAAGTTACGAAGGTGAATTTGAGTAAGGTGAAACATTGCTGCTGTGGCGAGAAAGAGTTTGGAGAACTACAGAGGGAGAAAGCAAGGTAGGAGTAAGGAGGAAAGAAAAGGAATGACGCTTTAAAGACATGAAAAATGTAGAGAATGAGACTAGACATGCAGGACAAAACTGAATCATCTCAACTAGAAATTTTCATCTCTAAGCAGTTAACTGGGGAGGAAGGGAAGGAGAAGTACAGCTTCACTTACTGAGTTGTTCTGCAGAGAGAGAAAGAGAAGTACAGCTTCACTCACTGAGTTGTTCTGCAGATACAACTGGTAAATAAAGGCCACAGGAGAATGATCAAGTAGTGACACATGGCTGCAGACAGTAGACGCTATGAGCCCCTGACTGAGAGAGAGCAAAGTAGGAGCAGCCCCAGCAGAACGAAGGCAGAACCACATGTGTGCATATTCTGACTGTGACAGAGCCCACTAATGGGAATGATGCCCTTTCCTAGTCACATGCTGCAAGACCTGTTGTTTTCTGGACAGCAGGAGAGCAAGCTACTGCAGGATCTGAGAAATCCTGTGCAGCCATGATGTTACACTTGCAGTCAGGTTTCCTGTAACAGTACAAATAAATGTCGTTTGAATTTTAGCAGTTGAGTTTGGAAGCCTTGACAAAGATCTCTTCCACCAATATCTTCTACAAAGTATAGCACAGCCACATCAAAAGGGTGTATTAAGAAAAAAGAACCAAGAAATACTCTTCATCCATGTATGTCTAGAAACCTTAATCTTGTTCCATGCTTCATTTACTCTGCATTGCTTTATAATGTACAATGTTTATGAATCCCCTCTGCACAATATATTGGCCCATTTCCTCCCACCAGAAGCTGAACCATCTTCCAGCATGGCATTGACAAGTCAGATACCTGGCTTCTCTTGTGCTTCTTTGAAATCTTTGATTTGGATTAAATCATTTCCAGGTGGGTTTACTCTATAAAGAAGACTTTTTTGCCAACTTAATCTCTGCTCCCCTGTCCCCCAAATCCTTTTGCTTGATACCTTGATGTTTGTTTTACATTACAAGCCTTCAAAAGGAGTCTTGAAAAACAAGTTACTTGGAAAGATTAAAATGTTGCCTTTATAACAACTTTTCGTTGAAGGGCTTGATCATGATGAAAATGACTCTTCAGATCATTATAAAGAAGAAGGTTGTGTAGGTGCTATACAAAGACTGAAAGCAAGTAACTTGTTTATAGCTTTAGCTGCTGACTGGTGGGGCCTGAAGCTGCTGTGTCACCCCTGCTTATGTATTGCTCTGCTTTAACACCCACTGTTTTCCCTTTCTCTCTTAATGTCTAGGTATTTGTATCTGCTGTTCTCCAATGATGACCTTCTACCATTAGACAACTGGGTTTTTAACACGGAAGCTCATCCTCTGCCTGTTTTACATTTAGCCAACACCACACTATCAGGAAACCCTACATATCGATAAAAACAGCTCTATGAAGAGAAAGAGAGACTGTTTTCAGCTCTGTTTTGTTTACATGGACCACTTGAGACTTTTAAGCAGGAGAGGAGACAGACGATTGCTAAAACTAGACCTCTGAGTCAAGCACGTACCAGCGTGAGAAATGAAGCTCTTCAGCATATAGATAAGTTAAAAGTTCTGTTTTATACATGACCAAAACACATTAGTGTGATATTTGCAGGACAGAGACTTCATGCGCTTCGAACCTTAGCAAGACATGGAATCTGTTGTTTAATAGGAGCACAGCAGCGTAAGGAAGAAGAGGCCCTCCCGTCTAGGGAGAGAAACTTGCTGCTGCTGCTGTTCTAAACAAGGAACACACACCAGTCACCTCTTCAGATCAGGTGGCTTCCAAATACCTAGATTTTCCTTTTCTTTTTTATTTTTTATTTGTTTGAGGATGGCATGAACAAAGCAACAACAAAAGCAACATCCCTGCACCAGCAGCAGCAGGATTTGAATTGCTTTCTGTACCTCTCTGAATTTCCTAAGGAGCACCTGCTTGTCCAGACTGGCAGCCATTCTCAGGGCCACTAACCTATTCAAGCTAAACTTTAAACCATAAAAACTATTGCCTCCTCCTTTTCCCCTTTTCAGAATAATGCTGAAAGATCTGTGTTGTATGCTTGCAACCAAAAAACCCCATTTAGTAGGCATTTGCTTTGTAGCTCTCTGTCAGCAACACGGGCTTTGTTCATTTGGCAAGCTACAGTCAGAATCTGGAGCGAGTTGCAGGGGTAGGAAGGAACCTGAGCTTCCCTTCCTCAGAAATCATGTCACATGGAAAAAAAACACTCTTCTATTAGTCCTAGTTCTTTTAGCTAAAAAAAACAGAGATGACAAAATGAGAAAAACTGTCTCTCATGATTTCTATAGGTGGATACAATAGATGGTACTTAAAAATGTTCTCTCCCCTTGAGCCAAGCAGCAGGAGTTTGTTGGTTTATACTTTTATAAACAATCTAGATTTTTCCTGAAAGTTAAATTTCCTCAGTTGGATACTGTTGACAGAACCTTCTTTGCAGGTTTGTGTATGACAGAAGCCCAAAGCTGCCTTTGATTTAATTTAGAAAACTGCTGCCAAATCAGTGTGATCTTCTTAGGAAACATCTCTGACATAGGGGTAGAAAAAGAAACTAAAGTCTCTTTTCCCATTAGTTTATGAGAAATGAGATGCTGCTACCTGCATGTTTTGGGTTTTTTTTTTCCAAGAGCTCCTGGGCTGTGCTGTGCATCACTTACATGGAGTCTGCTTCAGTCTTTACTTAGTTCCTAAAAGAAATTTTAGTCTCTTCAGGTACATCTCTATCTCTTTTTTTTCCTTTTAGCTGTTTTTCCAGGATCCTTACAGCTCAAATTATTCTTTCTATTCCCCTTTATAGCTCTCAAATCCTTTTGCCATGGTGACTGACCCCTTTGCTGAAAAGGAGCTGTGAGGTGCTCCTTTCCCTCCTATTTAGCGCACAGGTTGAGTCTTTAAAAGATCTTGATTGTGTTTTCATACTGAAGTGAATGGTAGAACTCTTTAGTGAGCTACAGCAGTAAAGCATCAGATAGAAAGGGAGTGAGTGCTTTTTTTCCCTTCAAAAGATGTTTTTATATGAAGTTTTATATAGAAAAGCTTTTCTATCATATCTGACTGTACATTATAGTAGAATGTCCCCCATAAAATTTTCCTTCACTCGTCTCTGACACTAACTTGGACATAGAAATCATGATGTAAGAAAAAAATGCTATCAGATGGTTTTTTCCAGACAGTTTCTTTATTTTCAGAGGGGGAAGACACAGAGCTTGGAGAAAACTCCAGTCTCTGTGTTTTTACCTTAATACCAGTCGCTTAGTTATTCTAAGTTGAAGCAGTAGCTTAAAAATAATTGCAGAACCAAGAAAGTAATTGATACAGTAAATAATACTGAATCAAGTAATTTTTTATCTAAAATCAGAAGTCAGTTAATAAATGGATTCTTCTTACCAGTCCCACATTAACTTATTTTTCTAATTGGTATTCAGTGGCTTACTGAAGAGCTGGTCATTTTCCATTTCCCAAAGTTCAGATAGGTTGTATTTTCAAATTGAGTTTTTTTCCCATTACTAGTTTAAAACTGCACTTGATTTCATTGTTCTCTTCAACTTCTCCAGGTACAAAGGAGAAAGAGGAAAAGCAGATTCTTCCATTTAAAAAAATAAATACAAAAAAAAGCAGCACTTTCCATCCCGTAACATCCATTCTCATACATCTCCTGATGAATACACATGTAGAATGGCTGCCAGTCTGTTCAGGGGAAGGGCAAGGACAGAATTCTGGAGTCCCAGAAACAGCAAACTTCTTATTGTTGCTCCTCTAGCCCCTGTCGTGAATTAAAGAGTAGCCCTTCAAATTAGTTCCTCCATGAATCCCAATGGGTTTAACTCATCGCCACAAGAATGCTTGCATTGAGGACCTAAGCTGTTTCATGTTCAGGAATGGTATTTTTCTCAAAGCAGACATACAGCACTGCTATTTCTTCTTTGTGTAGATGAGCAGCAGGTACCAAATAAAGAACACTTTTTTCCCATTTTCCGGTTACCCCGATGGCTATCACTTTTTGTGACAATGTCTGCCACTTTTTAAAACACAAGTCTATCAAAAATAATGAATTTAAGGACTAATTACTGTGTCATTCACGAATCTCATCCTGAGATTTCCCTAGAGTAAGCTGAGTTTGGAGGTAAAGGGTTCTGGGCAAGTTGTGTGCATAATAACCAAGCACTGTGGATATTGAAACCTCTACTGTGTCCTTGTCCTGAGTCCTTCACAGAGAAGTAGGTTCTGATGCGCAGAATGGTGTTACAATCCAAAGCTCAGACTGTTTCCCCTCTGGGTACAGAAGGTACAGTAGAATATTGCCATTTCATTCTGTTGCTGCTATCTTTCTTGAAGATAGAGTGTAAATTTAAGCACAAAATGACTTTTTAGTCCTAGTTGTTTCCAAGTCTTGCACTGTATTCTCTAACAAAACAATCCTCCTTTTCTTTAGAGAGCTGTCCCATTTTACCAATTTCTACAATACTCTCTCCCCTTACAGGATGAAATAAAGAACAGAAAATAATGTACGGTTTTGGCACACTGGATTTGGGCAAGAGCCTGGAAATCCCAGAATTGTCTATTTCCTGTTTGCATGCAGTCAAAACAAGGACGTTCAGTTCTTTTCCTAATCCAAGCCTTAAGCTTGACTGTTGTCAGGATCTGCAGTAAACTTTTTCCTAAGACTTGAGCTTGAGTTCTCAAAGCCAGATTTCTGCAGCTTCCACTGACCACCCTGGAGCTGTGTCCTGCAGTCAAGAAGTCAGCTTCTTAGCTTTGTCCTCTTAGCAAAACAAAAACCCCTGAATATGTGGGGTGTTCATTTTGCTGCACAATGTAGTCCTTAAAAATGGAATGTTTAAGAAAAGTATGAAAATTATTAAGTACCCTGGAATAAAGGGAAAAAATGGTAGTTCCCTGTGCCAGGCACAGCTTTGAGGCTTCTTTATCTCCCTAATACAAATCTGTGGATTGCTGTCTTCTACCTCCCAGTCACTGACGTATTCCTACCCAGTGTTTTACAAGATTTGAATGTGGAGTGTCTGAGTTCTGAAAAGCAAGACTACAAACTCCCTGTAATACCATCCTTTAAGGTTAATGGTCTACCAATGGTCTACCCTATGCTAATTCACATGTAAGCAAAGCCCTGCTGGGCTTTTGTTCATGTTTTTAAGGGGACAAATAAGAAACAGGCTTCTTGTTACCAGAGCAATATGAGAGTGAGCTCTTGATCCACACTGTAGTTTGGAGATCTGTTCACCCTGATAAGACATCCCTTTTCCACTCCTTGTATGTTGAGAAACAGTCTTCTGACTCAAGAGTGTAAGTTGCCATCCAAAGAGGAAACCCAAGCTCTTTTGCATAACCTATGTGCATACAGCTGTAGTAGAGATGATAAGCACTAGCTGCTTTGGCTGTCAGTCCCTTCTAACAGACTGCTCTGGAATTGCCCAGGGAAGTTGGGAACCATCACAGTCAAAGGAGACAGCCTGACTTGTTATGGTGAATTGTTGCCTTTAATCCTAATTGCTTGGTGGAGGTTGGATTTGAATTCTGCCTTTATTCTTGCTTTGTCTAAAATGGACAGATTATTTTTCCTCCAAAATAATGAAAGGGCAAAAGTCTGCCTTCTGATGTGGAAACCTTCTGCCTCTGACCTGGAATCCTGCATATGTACTTTTTACAGATTAAAAATAATATTGTATATAAAAAAGATTGAATAAAGAATGTCTTTAAGTGAAAAAGGTGCCATTTTTGTCCTTTGCCTCCAATAGCAACTTCCTGCAGCACTGGGCTGTGAAGTTGACCTGATTTCACAGGCTTGATGGTGCTGCAACTTTTCTTTCCCCTGTAGCTCTCCTAGGGACTTCGTCAAACACGTATCAGGTCTCCCTGTTGCAAAATTAAACCCATGTACCTGGCTTGCTTTGAACGGGTTGCTGTACTGCTCAGATTCCTCTCAATAGCAAGTTGAGGTTCTTTCTATATGCTGTTATGAAAGCCACCAATTCCCACAAACAGATCTACCCTTCTGTTACGTTTGTGTGGAAGTGGCTAAAAAGTTCAAAGATTCTAAATGGGGCAGGCAGAAAAGATGTTATTAAATGAACTTAATTCTCATAAGACACCTGGTTAAACCCCCAGCTTTTCTTGCTATTGAGTAGCCCAGTGGTGAATTGGGCAATTAATTCTGCCCATCCATTCCTCTGCCTTCTGCAAGAAGGAAGAAGTTTGTGGTTGTTTAATGCTGTTCACAGGGAAATTGCTGTGAGGAAATGACTTTGCATGAGCCTATTTTCCCCCTTGCACCTTTTGCTGATATAGCTCTCCATTTTGCAGTGCAGCAAGTGAATAACCTGATTCGCTTTTTGATTCGCATTAGCTGTAGATAATGCTTACTGCCTGACATCAGCCATACTGCTCATATGCAGTGCTTTGTTTCCATGGCGTGCCACGACTGTCATCCTGTCCTGTTTTGGTGCTTTGTATCTGATCAAAGAATCATCTTGGTTGGAAAAGACCTTTAAGATCATCAAGTCCAACTGTTCCCCAGCACTGCCAAGTCCACCACTATCCCATGCCACTAAGGGCCTCATCTATCACCCTTTTGGTGATGCTCAGACTTCCCAGGGTGCTTCTGCCTCAGGATGCATGAGCTCCTTCAGAATTACTTCATAAGAGAAAATTGCTTATGAAGTGCTGTAATTCAGTGCAGCACATAACACAAGGTATATGCCTGCCCTCCTGGTGTGTCATCCATCTCCAGATCCAGTTATGCCTTCAGCTTTCTACACAACCACTGCGTGTTCATGATGCACCCAATGTCCTACCACAGTGCCATTGGCAATGCAGTGTTTTTTGCATCCACTGAACTTCCCGTGGTGTGCTCAACCCTTAAGCCACCTCACCGAAATTCACTTCTTGTAGCAAAGCATGTTTGCTGTGTCTATCCATGGCATTCTGTTTCAGCCTCTGAGCACTGACACACAAAGCCTTGCCTCCTGGTCTAGTACTACCAAGCTCTCTCTCCTTCTGTAGAACATTTTGGCCAGTGCCGAAGGCTATCCTCACTGCTCTTCGGATGGGATCCTTTGTGGTTGCACTGCATTATCTTTGCCTCTTCAAGTTAAGTGCTTCATCCCTCTACTTCTGTCTTTTCTGAAACACACCTATTTTGCATGTCCTTTATCCAAGGATACATAGCAAATATCCTCAAATATCCTCTTACTTCTCCTTTGCTGCTCTGCCTGCATGGCACCCTCCCCCCTTCCTTCCCTCATATACTCTGTGTGTGCTCCTTCCTGGAGACCATGCGCCTTTCCTCTGCATGTTAATTAGCTTTATTTTAAAATCCTAAAATTAATCCTTAATGGGCTATTTTTAGCTTTCATCTCGTAGCTCTGGGAGTTGGCTTCTGTCCTTGCAAAGCCATAGGCATTCTGTGGGCTTTGGAAAGGGAACATTCCGCTGTTGGTACCGGTTCACATGTGGATGAGGTTGTGTGCTTGCCTACATTTTCAGGTACCTCAATCAAAGATACAGGAGGTCCCTTCCTGACCCACATTTACAAAATCCCTTTCCTTTGTGCTGTTACCTCTTTCTAGGACAGGTCAAGTGTAAAATGCCATTGGATCAGAAAAAGGAAACCCTTTCTTATCTACATGGATGGGAGTAATTGGTTCACGTTTGCTATGCTGGTTGAGTAGAATAGAATGTAAATGAATAGAAAATCACCAAAATACTTGCTCTGAAGTTTTTTAATGTGGTTATCTGATGAACTTCCACCACCAGACTTGCTGCGGCTGAATCAGAAAGAGATTGCAGTGTGTTGAAACACAGTGCTAACAACATACGACCCCAGTCTCTTTTATCTGAAGATTTGTTATTGAACAAGAAATGAGAATATGATGCTAAAATAGAAGAGTGGTACAGACCACAAATAGTCCTTTGTGCAATGATTCTTGCACAGCAAAGTAAAGATCATCAGTACCCTCAGAGACAAAGATGCCATCTGTTTCATGCTCTTACATTCTATTTTGCCCATACTTGCATACGGCTCATCTTGTCCTTTGTTTGGGTACATATCCCGTTATTACTTGAGGTGCTTTGTGAGTTATTTCTACGCTCATTTATGTTTACATCAAGGGATTTCCTTGGCAGGTCACTGGGATTTTTTGCAAGTGTCCTGTTAAATCTGTATTGACACAGTTATAAATGTTTAAACTTTAGCCAAGCAAGTCATTTCAAAGAACCCATACATCATTGGTGTAAGTATGATCAAATCTTAGAACCAGTGTTACTTGAGCAACCATTCCTATCAAACTGATGCTATAGTCTGCTAAAGACTTATGCCAAGCTTCTGTAACCTCAGACGCTGTAATCCAACTTCTGGCACAGCAAAGTTAGCTTTTCAGGCTCTGTTTAGGTATATTTCAATTGAAGTGGAAATTTCCCCCAGGAAAAAAACTCCCACAAATCTTTGCATAGCCGCCAGTCATCAGCTTGTGGATTAATGGCTTTCCTCTGAAGCAGACTTCGATGAGTTCAGTGACAACAGGGGAAAATTTACTGCCACATTCAGGAGACATTGTTCCATCGATTTCTTTATTAGCTTTAATAATACACAGATGCTGCTTTTCCAGGTGTGCAGTCTAAGTAAACCTTTCTGTGTATTACCTCTGATTTCCTCCAGTTCCTGCTGCTGCTATTTCTTAATAAAGCAGAAGTCTATGAGGAAAACATCAACTCCTTTGCAGAGCATGGTGCATAGCCCTGGAGATGTTCCCTCTGAGCAGGTTATGTTCAGTGCCAGATGCTTGTCAGCTGCATCAGAAAAATGCTCTGCCCACATCCATATTTTATGCCTGCAGTAGAAACTTCTTTGCCAGCTTGAGCTGTCAGTAAAAGGCCACTGGTACGGCTGTACTCCAGTGCTGGTACCACCTTGCTCACCTCTCTGTTAACTGATGTGTTCAAGACACATATCCAGGCTAGTCTGCCCCAAATTTGAAAGGTACGATTTGTTTTCAGTCATGGTGTCAGACTGACTTCCAAAATGGAGAATATGAGGTTCAAATGTCAGACTCTCATCATCTGCCTCCCAAATCCTGAACCTCCTCTGTGTGTGTAACACCTACTGCAGCTGTCTGACCAGGATGTGCCCAGTGCCCTGGTTCAGTAACCAGCAAGGTTCAGCAGACCCAGCCAAGTGCAGGGGACACAGCATCATGTTCTGAACTGATCAACGCAAAGGACAGTGGCAAGTTTGTGATGTGGGACATGAACTGTGACCGTGAGGAGACTTATTCCTGGTTGGGGGCAAACACACCTCATGGGAGGGCTCGGTAACTTCTGTGGATACTGTGGGATTGCAACTGGTTCCTGATGAGGAAAGGCTGTAGTTGAGTTTTTGGCTGCTTGACAGCACCTGTTTTTCAAACACTGAGTCAGGCTGCAAGAATCCTGAGAGTGCTTCTAGATAACACCTTTGAGGATCTTTTTCCATGTCTTCAGTTGTTTTGGGTTTTTTACCTTCAGCCTTTGGGTCACTCATAGTTTAATATTTCTGAGTTCTTCCCTTCCCTTTTCTTTCAGAATGATGAGAAACACTTCTAGGAAGAAAAGGAAAAGGAAAAGGAAAAGTTGTCACATCTCTGGTAGAGTCTCCAGCCTCAGGAAATGATCAAGGGTGGGCACTGCTGCATTAAGCTTGCCCTGAGCACAGATACAGATACTAAAGAAAGGCCAACTTGCTGTTTGGAAAGCAAATGTTTTTTAACTTCAATCTGACACAGACACAGATTTTCATTCTCCAGACAGAGCAGGCAATTTCTCCTATTTACTGCTCTGCTCCCAATGCAATTGGCAACATCCTGTTTTCAGTGAGATGGCTTGCAGCAACCAACTACAAACCACAACACTGAATAATGTGATGTCCCAGTACAATGTGCTGTGATGTAAATGTGAGCCCCACAATTATTGTAGGGTTATCGCACTGGTCTTTATACAGGTAGGTTTATTTTTCCACTCCAAAGTGAATAATGAATGGGAGTCATACAAGTGATCTTCATCACTTATAGCTCTTCCACCACTTGCTGCAGGAGTGCTGGAGGGACAAGGGAAGGACAACTTAGCATCACAGCTACACACAGCATCACTCCCACTTGAGCAATCTTTAGAGGAAGAACAAGAGATCTTTTCTTGAAATAGACCCATCACATCAAGCATCTGTTTCAAGCCACACTGTGAAATTTTGATTTGTAAGTGGGGTTGCAAAGCACCCAAGATCGTTAGCAGGAGCGGAGGGAGGATAAACACTTGCATGGATGCTGGACATGATATATCAGTCTTAATCCTTTGGCTCTGTTTGCCGGAATCTACTGTACTCAGTAGCAGGCAGCATGCCGCAGCAAGCTTGCACTGTGTTATCTGTGATAAAAGTGCAGGTTCTGTGAACACAGAAGCTCAGCAGCCAGAATATTAAATTGAGCTTCGCAGCGCGAGTGAGGGGAAACTATCCCTTAAAGATACCATCTTGTGGTAGTAAGAGGCATAGACCGACAGCACCAGCAGAGCTAAACTGCGCGAAACAAGCATCACTCCTACCGCCAAGCTGAGCATAAACTCCTGCCTTTCCAAGCAAAGGATGCCTCCGAGGAGTAAGCACTAGGCTCAGATCTTACTCTGACCAGATTCCCATTCCAGTGGGAATAAACTTCCTGTAAGCAGGAATAGCTTGTCCTGGAGACTGAAGGAAGGGATGTGGTAGCAAGAAATAGGGAGGAAGTTCAGCAAAAGAGGAATTCAGTACTTAGAAATTTGACTGTTGGGGGCATGGCCCTTGGAGAGATGAAGATGTCCCACTGTCCTACTGAGAAGGCAGAAATGATAAAGTAAGCTCTGGCAGTGGGAGCCTGTATTCATGAAATGAGTCACTGAACTGCAGAAGAAATGTTGTTTTATATTTGCTCTGGCAGCGTATGTAGGTATTTTAGCAGCTCTGTTAAACCTGGGCAAAGATGTCCCAGTTTTCTGGTTCGTGTTGTAATATGCCAGCTCTCTGATGTATTAAGTGCCTTCCCCTATTAAATAGCCGCTCTTCTTCTCTTGTTCTCTCCACTCCTTTCCTGCTCTATTTCCATGTGCCCGAATTGTCCTTTCTACTACTCCTACTTCAGCGACAGAGCAGCCATGGCTGCACCCATCATTACACTGGACTGTAGAATAAAATATCACTAGCCTAGAAAACAGTGGGTGTTACTGTGTTAAACACCTTCTTTGTACTTTTCTAAGCAGGGTTTGATAACCTCCTCCCGCAGTATTTTGTCTCACACAAAAGAGAAAGACCCTTATTCCACCCTGGAGGCAATGGAGATAACGGTGTATATGTAAGTATATGGAGCTGATCAATAGCTTTATGAGCAGCACTCCGAGGTCTATGGATTTTACATACTTGGGAATCTTTTGGAGGCTTATGGCCTGCTCAGAGCCTTCTTCCTGAGAACAGAGTGAAAGCAGGAAACGGGAAGGGAGTGGAGTATGAATGGTGGTAACTGGAGGGACAAAGACTTCAAAGGGCCCCAGATGGGGCTGGAAATGGACACAGAAATGGAAGGAACCCAAGGGGAACTGAGTATGTACAGAGGGGAATGGAAAGGAGCCATTTGGTGAGAAAAAGCCAACAATGTAGGGGACTGGAAGGGGAAAGAATGTGAATGGTGAGGCTCAAGGGAAGAAGACATGAACAGAGGGGCTGTAGATAAACAGATTTATCACCAGGGAGGTCTAAACAGAATAAGAACATGAAGGGAGAGGAAAAGCACTGATGGAGGGAGCAGGAGAGGAAGAGAGCTCCCATCAGAGGGCAGTAGGGTATAGGGTTAGTGCAAGGGGGCTAAACCCTGGGGATTTGACTTCTGGTGGTGTGAAGGCAGAGAGCAAAGGGGCTGGGGATGGGTCTCCTTCAGGATGGGATAGATTTGTGTGCTCACTAATAAAGGAGGAACTCTGATGAAGGTGTTCAGCATACTGTTTGCTCGGGGGAGCAGGGTAGAGATGTTGACATGGTTATCTGTGAAAGGATGGCATTCAAAGTATTAGTTTGCTAAGTGTTTCCACAGCCATCAGTGGGAGCCTGGAAAACTTAATCCTGGCTCCCCAAAGTATGAGCACAAGTCCTGGTGGCTGGTGTTCTTCTGCTTCACATCTCACATACTTCACCCAACATGTTAGTAAAGAAAATGGTATTTTGCACTGGGAGTATCTAATGTCCAGAGCATTGAATAATTGAATACAGACTTTAAGCTGCCAACATCTCTTGAAATGTGATTTATTTACATTAGTACTGAGTCAGATAAAACGTTCCTGTGACACCATCCTGAACAGAACAGAGAAATTCCCATCTTTCTTAGTTCAGAGCTCACAAGTGCCATGACTCTGCAGTCGAAACCCTTCAGAAACCAAGGTGTTGTCCTGCAGTACTTTTCTCCTCTTCATCTTGTTGAAGCCGTTGTTCTTCTGGGCAGCCAGATCTGTTGCAATATTGGAATTGGTAACTAGGAAAATGAGAATGGATGAGGAAGCTCTCATCTGACAAAATCTTGCCCTTCTCTCTTTCCATACACCATACTAACTAAACCTATGTCTCATTTACTTTGTGCTTTAGGCCTCGCAATGCTTACGGGGCCCAGATTTGCTCTCAAGTTTGACTGTCAGGTGAATGGCACATGAAATCAGACAACGCTCTTGAAAAAGTGAGCAAGATTTGCAACAGCTTTTGCAATCAGGTGTCTTCTACCTACTCTGTGTTTGGTAAGGCTGGCAAGAGGTGAGTGCACAGGGTATAGCTAAGTAGTATATATTTGTAAAGTGTAGTCATAGTTCTAGGGTAAATAGTGCTTTACAAAAGCCTTGAAGGTGGCATGGAGTGAAAAGGGCTGATGTGTTCACACCGTGGATTGTGTGGGGTTGTACCAAAGCAATGTCTTTGTGCTGCACAAGATGTTGGAATGGATACAGCCTGTGCAGTAAAGTCACCCTGGTCAGCCTGTACTCAACAAACAAATGAAAGATGCACTTCTATTTGCCATGGGTTGGGAAGGGGGGATGAAGGGGCTGATACACAAAGTCTCCATTTAAACACTTTGAGTTATCTTCTGCTGCTGCTGCTGTTCACCCAGCTCTCCTCTGGCTCAAGGCCCTACGTGTTTAGCCAGGTCTCAGCTCCTCCTAAGACTTAGGCAGCCTTGCTTTTCAAGTACAGCCTTCTCTGTGGGACCATTGAAGCAATCCACTGACCAGTGCTCTGCTTTGCCTCTTCCCACGTGTAGCGGGGCACATAGCCAAAATCATTCCGTGCTTTTCCGTAAGAGAAGGTGAATGGGGTGTTCAGTAGAGTGACCAGGTGACGGTTGGTGGAGGGGATGTATCTGACAAAGGGCCGAAGCAAGAAGCTCACGATCTCCAGCAGCAGAGAGAAGTAATACAGCATTGTCAGAGGCATGGGGAGCTGGGGCTCAATCCCAAACCCTAGGTCCTTGGTAAGCTCGTAATTCAGATCTGCATAGCTCATATGAGGAGTGTCATCCGAGATGTAGTAGAACCGCCCCCTGATGTGCTTGGCTTTCTGCGGGTCTTGCAGGGCTTTGGCTGCCTGCACATGGGCCCAGGCAATGTTTCCCACATACACGGGGTTCACCAGAGCCTCCTTCCTGGAGAAGCGCAGGTAGACATTTCTGTTCAACAGACACTTATCCAGATGACCTAGAAGAAATGGGCATCCTTCTCCAAAGATGTACATGGATCTCAGGGCACAGGTCATCAGTGTGCCACCACCTTTAAGCACCTGGCCATCTGCTTGCAGCACAGAATCTTCTGCCAGTCTCTTACTCTGAGCATAAGGAAATTTTGACACACTCTCATAAGCTGTATCTTCATCACCATTGAAAATTGGGTCACCTTTGCAGTTGGGGCCTGTCACTTCTATAGTGCTAGTATATATGAAGTGCTGGATGTTACAGCGGACACATGCCTCCAGCAGTAGCTGTGTACCTTCAAAAGAAAAACCTACAAGTCAGTCTAGAGCCCCCCAAGCTGAAAAAAGTGGGGCGGTTAGGTCAGAAACTGCATCTCTGTCCTGAGCTTGGCTAGATCTTCCCTTTCTGCAGCTGGAGATTGGTTGGATTGACTTGGTTTAAGGCAGAGAACCTTCAGTCTCCAAAATGAACTTTGCCCAGTGCAAGTCTATACACTACTTAATCGGGTTCAATGCAGAGCTTGAAGAGGGAGATCTTGTGAACAATGGACAACACCATGCAATCAAAGAACACAAAGTGCAGTGAGCAAATTGATGCTTGTGTACGTATGTCTTGTTTTTCAGCATATTCTGGCTTTTATTTGCAGTAGTACAAGATTTCTTACTTTTAAAATCCTACCACAATGCTTTCATCAAGGGGAGTAGAGGTAAACGGGCAAGTTCAGGGTCTTTCAAATAGCCAAGAATGTTAAGCTAGGAAAGCACATTCAAGGGGATAAAAATACTTGAATAAGTGTGTGCTCGTTTAATTGCAAGTAGACTCTTCTACTTCTGAGCTTTGAGGCACAAGTTGCCTCATTTGTTGTGCATGGTGTAACAAGAGAAATTACGTGTGAAAGGGCCAGTGACTTGGGAACAGAAGATGCAAAGACAAAGGAGAACAAAAAAAGTCTTTGGCAAAGGAACATTAAACCCAAATGACTGATGTGATATCACAAGGGCGTGGCCTAATATCTAAGGGATAAAATCAAACACTAGCAGTGAGGCATAGGAATGATCTAACAAGTCTGCTCAGTCTGTCACAACTCGAGGCAGAACGATGCAGAGCAGGCTAGCGTTGCTAAAGAGAATATAATGAATAAAAGAGGTTCAGAGGACCAAGGAATATTGTCAGCAAAACATGGACCCATTAATGAATGAAAAATGCAAAGAATTATTGAACTGAATACTGTCAGGGCACCAAAATTCCATTTTCTAAGCTCAAAAGAGAAAAAGAAAGAAGTTTAAGAAACACCAAAGAAGGGCAAATTGAAAAAAAGATTACACAGCCAAGAATAAAATGTGAAGGAACCATGCAAGGAACCATGTTTAGGTGACACACAAGCCAGGCTCATCTGAAATATTAATTAATAAAATATATTATTTTAAAAACTAATAGCTCAGTTCTTGCCATCAATGCTGTTTAAAATGTGAGGGCAAGTAATAAAGTGCAGAAGGGCTAGATAAAATCAAATGAAGCAAACATAAGATTATCTTGACAGTTGCTATCCGTTCCAGGTCAAATTCACTCAAATAAAATGTGCTTTATTTGCAGACCAAAGTTGTATGTGGAAAATGAAAAGGTTCTTACAGTAATGGGAATTTGAGCATCTTCCACATATTCACACATAATGAAGTAAATCTGCCATGGAGCAGGGCTCCAAGTGTTGCTTGCACGCGAAACCCTTCTGCCTGAGGTTCTGATTCACACAGGGTACTTTTATTTGGATTATATTCAATTATTTTCTTAATTCCCTTCCAACCTAAAAATTCACTCCCCTTCTACAAAGCTATTTTTGCCCTGAGGCCTCACATGTGTGTGGTGTGTGAGGCAGGGGAAAGCCCTGCATCACAACGAGTTGCGCTTGTTTGCTTCTGTTCTGGGTTGTGAACATTGACAGCTGATTTCTTGACACATCTGTGTTATAAAAGTTCTGTTTTCTAGGAGAACCAAAACATTTTTGCTGCAAGTGTATGTAGTACGTAGTGTCTTGGCTGGTCAGAAAGCCAGAAGAACATCAGAATGGAAATGGGGGCAAAGAGGGAAGGGGACAGCAGTGTTTACTGACTGATCTTAGGGTCAGTTGGCTCTAGGAGCAGGTCTGGTGTGTGCTTTCGTTCTACCAAGTGTTATCAGCTAACCCTCACTGGCCTAGTGGGCTTTACTTCATCCACAGGTACGCTCTATCTGGGGAGATCTGAAGAGTTTATGCAAACCTGGATACTTTGTGCTTAAGCCTAAACCTGCCAAAAGAAATGATGGAGCACACTCACACAGCTCTGACTCTAGCTCAGAGCTAGAGAGCTTTCTGCTTTAGGGACAATTTAATATTTGTCTAGGTTTAGGTTGTGGTTTTTGTTTCCCCCAACAGGTTTAAGCAACACATCCTGCTATGAAAGCCAGACAGTAGCAGGAGTATGTTCATAAAGAAAGACATGCACAAGTCTTCTTTCTGAACTACCACCCCAGTATATGTATTTGTCATAGTACCCAATGCACAGGTTTACAGGAACTCACCTTTCTGCTCTTCCCTCCTGGCAGGGAGCTAAGAAGCTGCCTGCTGGGCTCTAATTTGTGGTGACTGACAGTCTGAGGCTTTGACTGAGCAGAAATGAAAGTGTCTGGAAGCTGAATGTACAGCCTGGTGAAAACAGCCAAAATGCCAAGCTGCTGTTTTCACGGTGCGTTTAAGAGACAACTCAACTACAAAGAACACTCTCTTGCTATGAATGCCAGTGTGTAGCCAGTATTTGTTGTGTGGTGGCTGTAGGAGTATGTTCCTTATTTTTCTGTGAAGAAGCCCTGTATCAATGCAGAGAGGAATAAAGAACCAGGAAAACTACTCACAGAAGTAAGAACATTGTCCTCAGGTCTTCACCAAGGAACTGAAGCAGTACAGCCTGGGAGGCCAGTGTGCATGCAGGTTAGGCAGCACCAGTTCATCGAAAGGCACAGAGGGGTTTGGGATCACAGGGGGTGAGGTGAAGTTGTTCTTTTAGGACATATAAATTTATTGGCAGTTGATGCCACATTGCCTAGACAGAAGCTTCTCCCTTCTTCTGAGCTGATGAGGAACAGGGGCTCCTTAGTAGAAAGGTAAGTCCCATCACCGGCCGAGGAGTTACTGAAACCCCTTCCTCACACAGCTTTGAGTTTGGTGAGGGGTATTTAATGATAAGATCAAGGTGGGAGAGCACCTGCTTCTCTGAACTGCATTCATGCACACACAGACATAATAGTAAAGGTGAGGAAGAGAAAGGGTAGGATGCAGAGAGCCACAGGGGGTGGGATGTTAGCAACACAAGGTTGCTGTAATTGCAGCCAAAGCCTGCAGTGTTTGTAGCAGCTGACAAATGTACAGCAGGATGCTTCATGGGGAGGGAGAATAAGAACTGGTTTCTTGGCTATGCACTGGGACTTCAGAAGGCTAACTGCTTCCAGAAAGGTCCACTAAGCATGGTATTGTGGCTATCCCCACTGAAGGCAGTCTGTGCAGATGTCAGGGTGGGCATATGTGAGTGCTGCTAGAGTAAATGATCCTGCAGTGGAAGACCAGTGCACACTGGGTGTGGAGAGGTCTGTATCTCCATAGGGCTGCACAAAGGCATGCTTTTCATTCACAGGTTTGGTGTGCAAGATGTACACAGGTAATCTGGCTCAGAAAACCAGGCCGGGTGCTCCCTTTCCTGATCAGATAATGATCAGGACACAGTAGACATGGGTTTGGGAAAGCTGCTTCACTCACTTACCTGTCACATTGACTTCCCAGAGCAGCTGCTTCTCTACGAGGCCCAAGGTGTCAATGATGGAAGCCGTGTGGATGACAAGGGAGATGCCCTGACAGGCACGGTGCAGGAATGTCACATCCCGGATGTCCCCTTCCAGGATTTTCACCTCAGTCTTACCATGGAACTCTGCAAGGGCAGCAGAAAACAAAGCAAAAGACCTTGCAAGCATCCTCAGAAGAGCTCTGAAGGGAGTGGATATTTTAAGGCTAGCAAAACAGAAGGCATTTTCCAGGGCTATATTGTGCAGTGCTAACTATAGTGCTTTAGATGTCTATGCTGAATTACCTACCACAGTTTTGGAGCCAATATTCACCATGGTTCTTTCTCTTTTGTTGTTGTTTAAAATAAAACCCTTTCCCACTGCTATCAAGGGCCTGGAGCTTCCTTCAGGTGTGACTGTTCTAAAGTTCCCAGCAGGGATAGCTTCAGTTGTGCCTGTTCTGATCACTAGCTCTTTATAGAAGTGATAATCCAAATATACCAAACAGCCAGGCACTGCATTCTCCTATCTTCAAGGTGATGAATGATCTCTCTCCTCCTACAGCATGTGTGCACAGAGCTGTGTTCACACCTATTTTCTGCGCCTTGACCTTGCCCATATTTCAGCTCCTTTAATACATTACTTTCAGTTCTGACATATCTTTTTTTACGTATCTTGGCCAGGATTTACTGTGCTTCTTCTAAATCCAGCTCTGGCTTCATTTTGGTGTCTGTGCTGGGGGTCATGTTTAGCATGCACATCTTTCTGGTCCAAACCTGAACTCCCAAGGCTGTTCTCCTGAGCTACTCCAACCCTGGCTGGCTTTAACTCCTGCTTTTGAAGCCCTTCCAGGACCCAGTGTGTGTGATCCTGGTGGAGCTCTAGGTCTCAGAGCCATCCCTTCTGCAAGTTTTGCTGTGCAGAAGCATCCTTTAATACAGCCCCGAACTGCATTGACAACACTGAGGCAGCAGAGGATGACCTGCTGGGGCGATGCTGCTCTCCTGGCCTGGCTGAGGACTTCCCCATCATGTCCTACAGGAGGTGGTGCCATTAGAGCAAGCCCTCTGGCCAGCCCCTGCTGTGCTGCACTGGAGGGCTCCCCAGGCATGAGTGAGGAAGCGGCTGCAGCAAAGCAGCGTCCTCTGTCTTCTCGCAGCACAATCAAATGTCCGTTGTAGAACCTGATTCATTTATGCAGCTTTTAGCCTCAGCCCTGACTGAAATCATCCTAGCGCTGTGTCACCAGCTCCAGAGCAGGCAGGATTTCATCCCGTGTCTTTAATGGAGAAGAGAGACAGCTGCTGGGATCTGGAACTGAGCGGAGTAGCTTTTTCAATGGTTTTATCCCATGATCTCTGTAGCATGCTAGAATGTAATCCTGTGTTAATTTAACAATTATTCTGAGGCAATAGGCTCAAGGGTCCTTTTTTCTCATCACAGTTGGTCTGATACGTAAAATCTGTGAAACATTTACAAAACTGTTCCTAAATCTAGATTTACTGCCCAGCACGGTCACCCAGTCACTGCCACACGCTCTCTTATGCTCTTTCATTTTACAGAGTGCATTCATTTCCTAGGGCTCTGTTTCCAGAAGCTTTACACTGACCTCTACTTGCATGGATGCAAAAGAGTCACATTATGGGGATAGGCTTTTTGTTAAGCACCTGGCAGTTAGATTTACTCTAATAAACATTAATCTTTGTACAGCCCTTAGGCTGATGTTCTCCACGAGTAATGCTTTGCAGGTTGCAATAATCCAAAGGACTGACATACATAGTTCACAATGTAAATGCTCGCATGTGGCCCCTTCAGAGTGGCCACTGTGCCTGGGCAGGAGTTAGAAAAATGGGGTTTCTGTACATGCAGATCAAAGCTTTCAGGAAAAATTTAAAGGAGATACATCCCTTTTAAAGCTCATTAGAGGCATAGTTGGTATCAGTCACTATAAATCTGCTGTCTAGCTGCTTTGTGCCTTGTTTGAGCTTTCAATTTAAGTTGTGTGTGATATGAGGTAGGAAAGCTGCTCCTCCATTCCACTTTAGCCAGCACAAGTTGTCATGCTAAGTACAGTATGGGCCTGGTTCACTTTACCAGCATCAGCTCGTTGTCAGGAATCAACAGATTGATCTTGTTTTGCTCTGGGGAAGAGGAAAGCTGCAGGTGATCTTGGAAGCAGGGGGAGGGAAGAAGAAATGATGGACATACAGTGGTTTCAGACTGAGATGAGCAGCAGGGAGAAACTTGATTTCCATCTGCACAAACCGTTGCCTAGACAGGGATCAGAACAAGCATATGTGTAGGGGAGATACAAAATGAATTCAAGTCAGGTTTCCATTGCTGCCTACAGTCATTATGAGAAAGTACCCACTGGGAAAGCTGCTTCTGCTTCAGCAATGGTTTCTGTGCCCTCTGAGCTGTAAGGAATGCTCCCTGCTTTCTGTGGGATAGTTTCTGCTTGGAAATGCAATGATTATTCAGTAAGATTCAGTGGCCTGTTGTGAGCAGTGTCTGACCCAGTCAGACTATTTGCCCTGAACTGTCTTTCTCTTTTCCATGTGTTGGTTAAAGTTCAAGCAAACAGCAATGGCTTGTGGGACTTAGCTTAAGTTTCTTAGCACTGTTTTATAGAGGTCCTAACAGCCATGGGGTAGATGGTGGGGAAAGGCACTCCTCATGAGAGACCTTCACCTCCCTGGTTAACTGGATGGTTCATTCAAATGCTCTACTTTGTGTATTCATAGCAGAAAATTACAAATTGCATCCTATTTTCATTTGTAAAGGGTAAAGCAATTTATTGACTTCTTTGGCCTAAGTAAGCTACTGGCTGCTCTGCTGCTACTCTGCTTTTCTGTTTTGAATACGGTGATAAAGGCAAATGAATGTCTGAAACTGAGCGAAAAGCCAGGAGGAAGATTCCCAGAGCAGGAAATCTCTCTCAGCAAAAGTCCTGGGAACAGGACCCATATTCCTTCTCCTCTACTTTCCATCTCCTTTGGAGCAGTACTGGATTAGCAGTGCAAAAACACTCAATGCTCAAGCACCAAACAATCTATAAATGTCTGTTTCTGAAAGATGTTTTATGCCTGATTTCTTTGCTGGTGCGAGAGGAAGGGATAAAGCAAGACCTCCTTGAAATAAAACCTCTACCTGCAACAACTGGTTTGGATGAGAGGTAAAGGCTTCCAAGCAATCCACATGAGACAACAGCACATACACCCACAACACACAGCCCTTAAGGGAGGGAGGGGACTTACTTCCAAATTCCCCAAGCACTTCCTCACTAAAGGCTTTGTCCAGCAGCCGGATCTCAGCCAGCGCCTCCTCTTCTTCCAGCAGCAAGCGCACGATCCTCTGGCCAAGAAATCCTCCTGCTCCTGTCACCAGGCAGCTTACCCCAGCCAGGGACATGGCTCTGGGCTGCTCCTCAGAGGCAAACTGGATGCGTCTTGAGCTTCCACCGGCCGGGTCCCCTCCTGCCTGAGGAAATGAACACACGACATCAACCTGGAGTCTTTACGGATCAAAGGCTGTTACCAAAAGGAGAGACTGCTGGAAAACAAGCTCTCCTGCCTGCATTAAACAGCAATTCTTAAAGCATGGCTTACTTTTGCTAGCTCTTCCTATTCAGAAGTAGCCTATACACTTTTCCATGCAAAGAAAAAACTTCACAAACTATTACAAATTAAAGAAACAAATCTGAAAATGTCCCAAATCAAATTCAATGCCAAGCAAACCCCAACAAAGTCTGCTTCAACCCTTGGTTCCACCTCTCCAAAGCTCAAAAGCCTCTGGGGGAGACTTGCCTGTATTTATATACCGCAGAGCACCCCCTTGGTCATTTTGCTTCCCCTCCCTCTCACGTTGCAAACGAACGTGGTGTTTCCACCTCCCCCTCTCAAAGAGGAAGGATGCAGCAAGGTCTTGTGTGCCTGGATCCTTGGAGGGTAAACCTCATGCTGATAATTCCCTGTATCTGGACTTGCTTGTGTAACACAGTGTTAATATGAGGGTAGAGGGCATTACCATTGAATATAAGTAACAGGAGTAGCTGTTTATAATGGTTTGAGAAGTGGAATCTGCTGCTGTACTTTTTTGGATACTGGGCTCCCTCATTACAGCATGGGTTTCTTACCTTATATGAGCTCGAAAGCTAACCTCTGAGATCCTGTATTTGTTCAGGACACTTCAAGCATTCAAAGTCATGAAAAGGTCTGATGTACCACTAAAATTACACTAAAGCAGCAGGAGAAAAACACTCCCCTCTGCAATGTCTGGTGTGAGGGTACCTGGTTAACGTAAGGCTGGGGCTGGCTGGCTGTGCTGTTGCAGCCAACTGTGCTGTTACCTTTTACATCTCCAAAACATAGGGAAAGTGCCCTGGATTTTCTCCCTAGGGTTTCACTCCAGTTCTAGGAAAACTGTTTGCTAGTGTGAGACCAGGGCAGGGCTTAGGTCTTAGCCTGAAGCTCCTAATACCTTCACTGCCTTCCTGGGTCTTTGTGCACCATCAGGACACGCTGCCTGGGCTGTATTTCCTCTCCCTCCCACACAGGGTCAGGCAGACATCCCTGCTGAAGCAAGATGATAAACCCGTAGCTGCTTAAGCAAGAAGGGAGTTACAAAGAAGCCCAGCAATGCAGCAACCGAGGCTGAAACCACTGGGAAGGGGATCACTGATGCCCGGCACAGCTGGAATGGATCTCTAAAAATGCTTTGCTTATATTCATGTGAGTAACTGCTAAACTCCCTTTAATTCTGTCATGAATTTTGTTCCCTCATTAAAAGCTATAGAGGCAGCACCCCTACATTGTTACTTTTTTAGAGCAAAACTGGGCCCACAAGTGACAGAAGAAAGCCAAACCCTTTCTGTTGGAGGAGGGACACATTCTAGCTGACACAGACTGCAGAGTTGTGTCAACTGTTCCAATCACAGAGTCCTTGAGAATCCTTTCCTTACCCCCACAAAGCTTTAAACAATTTGTTATCAGTGCTTCTTTCCTTGGCTTCCCTCAGCGAGAACCTTGACACTGTATGTTCTTATCAGAAGCTGCTGCAAATTAATTGTGTGCAGTGCATGCATTTTGCAAGGGAAAATAACTGACCAAAGCCTGCTGCTGCAATCAGTGTTCTCTGAAACAGGGCTTCCTTTTTACTGTTAGAAAGGGAATGAAATGCCTTAAAGAGGCATTATAAAAACAGGCAATACAACACAGCCTTTTAGGATAGAAAATAGTCTCTTACACCAAGCTTGCTTGTTAGAATGGCCAAGTTTAGCAGGAGTAGTGCTTCATATGAGAATATGCATGGAGACCTCAGGGCAGCCCTACAAGGGCTACAAGGATGCTGGAGAGGGACTCTTCATCAGGGACTGTAGTGATAGGACAAGGGGTGGTGGGTTCAAACTGAAACAGGGGAAGTTCAGGTGAGATATAAGGAAGAAGTTCTTTACTGTGAGGGTGGTGAGGCACTGGAATGGGTTGCCCAGAGAAGTGGTGGCTGCCCCATCCCCGGCAGTGTTCAAGGCCAGGCTGGACAGAGCCTTGGGTGACAGGGTCTAGTGTGAGGTGTTCCTTCGCATGGCAGGGGTTTGGAACTGGATGATCTTAAGGTCCTTTCCAACTCAAACCATTCTATGATTCTATGAGTGCTGCATCAGGGACTGTAGGGCGGTTTAGTGCTGGTGTGCTTTTGTCCTCTTAGGCACTATTAGGCCTAGTGCCTGGCTCAGTTTGAGGGAATTTTATGCATTGCCACATAGCAGCCTCCATTTGAACTGCTGCTTGTGGACGTCAGGGATCAGACAACAGCAATTTGCTCAGTTCCAGTGCAGACTTGCTGGTGCTTTCTGTGGCCTCACCTAAAGACAACATTTCCACCCTCTGTTTCTTGTTGACATTGCCATGTGGGGATGCAGGCTGACAGCTCTTCTGTGCCACAAACAGGACTGGCTCTGGTGTTCCCTGAAGGACACAGAGGTAGGTGCTGTACACCCCAAAACAGTGTCAATAGCAACAAGGCCAGAGTCCACCAGACTCCTGACCACCAGGAACCATGATATACCTATAACCTAAAGATGCCTACATGCCTGCAGCTCTAAGAAAGAGGCTGTACTTTGAAAGGTCAGTTTGGTCTAGCAAAGCTTCTGCCCTTCATGGTGGGAGACACTGTTCCCTCCTGGAAACACTTTCTCTCTTCTGGTTACACATTGACAAGAGGCAACAAGACTTAAATGATTAACTTTTGTACAGCTGTGCTGAATCAAACTCTGAATAAACACAACTTCATAGAGTGGGGAACAGGTTCAAGACATTTTAACCAGAGTATAAAGATAACCACCTTAAGAGACCTCAGTGTTTCTGTATATTCAAACCTGGCAAAGAAAATACCTCCTATTCCAGTAACACCAAAATTCCACTACTAGAAGGGAGAAAGTGATTGTAAATTTTTCTTACATGATCTTCAAGATCTGAAAACCTTGTAGGATCCTTTGCAATATTAGACAGCGCATGAATTGGGCAATCAACTAAAACCATTTAGTCTCGTTTTCCCTCTAGCATTAGGCAGAGCTGTGTTTCCTCAACTGAAATTGATGAGTGAATTATGTATGTAAAGGCTGTAGGTATTTGCACCATACGCAAAGCAAAATGCTTATATTTGGATCTACTTTTTAGATAAATAGACTGATTCCCTGGCCCTGCTGCATCCTGCAGAGATGTTGGGAGGCAGCAGGGTTTGATTAGTCCTTAAACTACACGTTTATGATCTCTTTGGGCACAGTTCTTTTGAAAGAGTTGACCTTACTTGAATTTGTACTAAGGACATTCACAATAACCAAATACAGAAAGCAGGATGGGGGGCATGAGACTGGTACATGTCAGTTTAATCCAGACCATAGAAAACTTTCAGAGTCTTGGAAAAGCTGTAGGATGGCCTTGTTCAATATACTCTCAGCCTGGTCAAACCCTGTGAGCTCTTATTTTAAGTTCACTCACCAAATAGCTTTATCTTTCTCTTAGAAAATGCCTTTTGCAGCCTTTTCCACAGAGGGAAAGTACTGCCTCCGCAGCTCCGTGGTAGTTGGCCATGGCAACACACCAGTACAGCAGGGTACAGATCTGATGGGTGCCTCTGATTTTATGACTCTGTGATGTCCCCCAACAGTTTAGATTGAAAGGAGCCTCTAGAGGTCTCTGACCCAACCTCTTCTCAAAGCAGCATCAGATCAGATGAGATTGCTCAGGCCCTTGCCCAGTCAAGCTCTGAATATCGCTAGGGATGGGTGTTTAATAAACCCTTAGTTGCAGTGTCTGACCACCCTCATGCTGATTTTTTCCCACTAATTTCTAGCTGGAATTTTCCTCATTGCAACTTGTGCCCATTACCTTTCACCCCTTTACTGCACACATCCAAGAAGTTGGCTGCATCTTTCCTGTTTTCTCTGACTCAGCAGTAAAAAGACAGCAATATGATACCCCCTCCCCTTGCCTTTAGCCTTCTCAGGACTGAGCACACCCAGCTGACTCAGTCTCTTGTACATCCTTGAAATCCATCAATGTGTGCAATGTAGCATGATTCCTGAGTCTTATCTGCTGGGCTGTCAGTCTGCCAGCAAGGATTGTTATTACTGGAGCAGAAGGAAGGCCTCAATGTGAAGGCCTCTGAAAGATCACTACAGACACTGTTATCTCTTTGAGAAATTCAGGTCTAAACAGAGTGAGCCAACAGGGCTCAATCTTCTGCCTCATTAAGGCAAATTGAAAGCAGGGCTTCTACAGAAGGTCACTTCTTGATAACATGGCTCCTCCGGCACATGGCAAGGAAGTGGGCACTGGGGCATCTGCCAGTGGCAAAGTGGGCTGTGACAGGGTGTCTACACCACTGTGAGCTGCCTCTTTGCCCCAGAAGAGGTGCTGTGCCACAGGCCATGGCTTGCCCTCAGAGCCTCACCTGAAGAGAGCTTTATTATTTGCCCAGGATGCACATGCCCAGTTCTGTAGCAGTTCCCCATTGGTAGCAATCCCTGTGGCATCATACTCACACAAACCTGCCTGGCAAAATCTTCCCTGTCCCTTCCTCCCAGGGGCATGCAGAATAAGCCATGTGTACAGGCATTGGAATACATGCTGTTCTGAAAGGGGAGAAGGGACTAGGAGGATATTCTATATCAAGGGACATCGTTTTCCATGTCTGGCTGTTACAACAGAGCTTGGGAGTAAGGCCCAATACAGGTAATGCCACAACACATCTGGTTTGAAGAAAATGTATTAAAGCAAGTAACAATTACTCAAGGTGTTGAAGAACTCCTTGATCTCAGCAAAAGCAGAGGTGAGCCCTTGCAACATGGAACCTTTCCCTGTCTCCTAAGGAGTTTCCTGCAGGCCTTATCCGATAGTTTTTGCACATTCGATGTTTTCACGTCCTTTTCTCTCTTCAGTCTGGTTGGGACCCCAGTGTGAAGCACCTTTGTTTGGTGGGCATTGCAGGAGGCCCTTCACAGCTTTGAGAACTGAACTAGGTGTCGACCAATTTCTGAGATGCTGGCACAGCCTGAAATAGAGAAAGGAAACATGCTGGTGAAGGAGAAAGGTCTGTGGGTGGAACTTGGAAGGCCCCCACTCCAGTCTTGTAGAGCCATTTGGGGATGGATTGGTACTTCAGTAGCTCCCTCAGCAGAGCCCTACTCCTCAATGGCATCTTCAGCCTTGAGGTTAGGCACTGGGCTTCCCACACAACAAGAGTATGAAATGTGAAATAAAAAGGCTCCGTATAAGAAGCTGAGCAGGAAGCCATCTGATCCATCCAGAAGTGAAAGGTAAACAGAGGAGACACAGGGATTGTTCTGTGTCAAGCGGCCAGAGGTAGAGATTTGCCATTTCAGTTGGTCAAATCTGGGTGGAATTTCACAACGCTGCCGAGAAGGTCCCAGCCTGCTACACTTGCAGAGTTTGGTGCTCTTTTGCATCTAACAAAATGTGAAAGAATCTGCAAAAAAAACCCCAAACTTGTAGGAATCTTTATAGTTGAAAGAGTAACCCCCAAAAAACAGGCTGTTAAGAAACACTCAATGGGATTTCAGTTCCAGTCTCCCAGTCAACATTTCTATCCACTTGAGTTCAGGGTTGCTGGAGCATGAAAATCTTTAAAACATGATCTGAAGTGGGATAAGATCCTTTGCTGATGTCTGAATACTTCTGCACTGGATCTGCACGTTGTACTTGTTCATGCATGAAACTGGAGTTTACACTGGGCTGTGTAAATTTGCTGTTCAGTGAGGGGGTCAAATGTCACAGGTACAGGTAGGAGCAGAAAGTGAGAAATGCAGAATGAGGAGTAACAGTAAAAGCTTGATTTTAAGGGGATTTGAAGGGATGTACGATGTAGAGATTAGAACCTGCACCAACACACTGTGTACTCTAATACACAGAGAAAAAATTGCATCCAGTTTTCCTGAACTTTTCATGCAGAAAGAAAATTGGTTGCATTTTACCTGGTAAACGTTAAATTAAATACTGAAAAACATATGTGGCAATTACCAGCAGAACAGAAATTCCACATTTTGCTCAACTCTAGTAGCAGTTTTGCATCTCTTTAGTTGGGGTAACAAAGCTGCTTGAGCTTTCTCTTTGCAAGCTTCATTGCTAGAGCACCTGGAATGCCAAATGGTTTCATAGGAAGCAAAGAATCATCTTAAATATAGCAAGTAGAACCACCACAGTTCACATGGATTCCTTTTTTGTGACCCATCCATCAGATTTGAGATGGCTGGCATGCAGAAACCTCTGTATCAGCAATTATAACCAACCTGCCAAATGCTTACCAGCTAAGGCCATTGACAAACGAAACTCATCCTGCAAAATCCGCAGCACATCTTGAAGCCCCTCTTCTCCCTGCTCCAACAGAGAAAGCAATCAGGGTAAAAGGAGCACTGGCACAGAGCAATGCAGCAGGATGCTTGCTCTGTGAGAGCTGGGACAGTCCTTTCAGTCCATGCCAATTCCAGTCTCTCATACAGATGAATGATTAAAATGGTATGATGGATGTGCTCAGTTCCTCCCAGATTAATTTAGATGCTTTTCCTCTCATGGCAGGGGGGCTGGAACTTAATGATCGTAAGGTTCTTTCCAACCCCAAACCATTCTGTGATTCTAAGATTCTATGAACAGGGAAACAAACCAAAGCTGGTTTTCACTGCTGACATTTTCTAGCTTTTTTCTTGTTTGGTGTTTTTTTCATAGGTTTTAGATAACCCCCACCAATGGGCTTGTTTTAAAATGTCAAGACTTCTTATGCTGACAGCAATGAGAGTTTTAAATATGGAACAGCTTAAAAAAACTTCAGTTTATTCAAACACCAGACTGAATCTTTAAAAAGAGTACACTGTGTGTTTTCCTCTGAGCAAGTGACACCAAGAAGCTCAAAATCCTATAAAATGTACCTATGATTTTGATCTTACTGCTGGAGGATTCTTTCTTTTGTCTTTTTTTTCCTTATTTTTTTCCCCTTAATTTCTTGCAATAAAGAATGCTTTGGGAGCAGCCAATGTCAGTGCTTGCTCATGCCCTTCCTCTCTTGCATGCTAGGGTAGTGCCACTGAGATAGGGTGTGTTGCATTGTTTAGGATATTCTAGTCTATGGCTGAACTCAAAAACCCATCTCCTTCCTGTATGCACTGTAGACAAAAGTAGGCGACTCATAGCAACACCCTTTTCACGTCAGGCCCTTTTTCTCTGCAGGCAACAGAACGGTGCTGCCAACTCCTCCACGTTTCTCAGAAGATTTAGGTGATTTATTGCTCAAAGCCTAGTTATTGGAACCCACGGCAATCACACCGCTGGACAGGAGTCTCATTTAAAAGGTAAGAAATATTTTTAGACCATAAAAATAAGTATTTCTTTTCTTTTAGATAAAAGCTTGGAAGCTCCAATCTAGGAGCTAAAAATGAAAAATGTAGCAAAGCAAACAACTGGTATAATTATATTTTAATATTAATTATATTATGTTAACCTTCTGCATCAGAGGCCTAATTTGTGACTCTGGATCATAGAAAGATGATGTCCAGAAGAGCAAAGCTTGAGTAGTGGCTTAGGCACCTACAGGACACAGTTGTGCTTGGTCTTGTTCAGAACGTTACAGACATCAGTGGGATGGAGTTCTGGATGGATTTCTGAGGAATTCTTAACATGGCTGTGAAACTGCTGTATTGAAAGCATAGGTTGTTTCCAAGTAAGCTGACAGCAAATAAAATTGTCAGACTGATCTAGGTAGCAAATAAGCTTGCCTCTAATTTTCCAAAGCACTGATGGTCCTAAGACCTACAGTACTTTAGCACCAAACCACAACCCCAAGGAAGTCCCACAAAACAGTGTTATCAGCTTCAAAATCACGTGCGAAACTGTAAAATTCCGTGGTATTTTTAAAGGACAGAAAATGTGTGGGTTTGATTCAATTTGGTGCGTTTCTACTTAAAATTCAGCAAAACAAAACAAGAGTAGCTGGTTCACTGCTGAAAACTATCTTTATGACTTTTAAATAACAACAGGGTGTTGGAGAGTGTGAGAAGCAGACATACAAAATCAAAGCTGCTTACCTTGTAAGCCAAACCCCATAAAGCTGGTCTTCCAATAAAGACGCATTTTGCTCCCAGTGCCAGTGCTTTTAATACATCACTTCCTTTTCGTATTCCACCATCTAAATAGACTTCAATTTTGCCTTGTACTGCATCCACAACCTCAACCAGAGCATCAATCTGCAAAGAAGCAGCCACTCTCATTTTGAGGTCAGCTTTTAATTCCAAGAGAAAGAGGAGATATTCCAAAGAGGAATGCTGCATAGCATACCTGCTGGAAATTAAATGTGCCTCACATAATAGCTCAGCACCAAAAGCTGTAAACTAAAGTGCAGTTCTCTGTTCTCTTTGCTAGATAGTGAGTTTCATTTTTCAGTGCTTTGCTTATACTGATATTCTTTGCTAGCACTTCTGATACATGAAAAAACAACTTTTTTGGGGTTTCTTTCTGGAAGATTTAGAAAATTAATTTCTAGGGAAATAATGTTTGTTAATACCTTACTCTCATTTGAGACAATGATGAATGATATAAATACCTGTAAAAAAAAAGCTGATGTCAACCTTCACCCTGCTACTTACGTTTCAGTCTAATCCTGGTAACCACATGTCAAAAGCCCCCTCAAATCCCTAAGTCATCTATGAAGGATTTCATTTGCTATGTAACATTTCCTCTAGGCTGTCTCCTGATTCTCTAAGGGTCCTTTTTTGTAGAGCACAGTGCAATGCCAGGCTGGTAGTACAGGGCAGTACCACACAGAAATGGTAGCTCTGGTCCCAAAGGCAGTGTAACCAGTAACAGAACTTTGCACTAGACGTAAATAACTCTACTTCACAGCAAACCCTTTTCTGCAGTGTTTGATACTCTTCTGCCTTCTTTTCATCTTTGTTAATCGGAGCAGCTATAACTATGTTTACTGGGTAGATTTTTCCGAACAGTCCTATTATTTTTTTTAGGATTTCAGATTGAAAACTTTCAGGCTGAAATTTTCCAGGAGCAACTCAGCAGGAGAAGGGACAATAGCTTCTGCTGCCAAGGTTGGTACCAGAGGAGTAGCACAGCTGAGCTACATATGTACTGGTTTGTCCGTATGTGTAAAGAAACTTCAAAGATAGCAGAGCACTTCAATGTATATGCCATTCCCATTGTCATGTCCTTAGCATTTAGATTAATATACTTTTAATTCATTATTGTCAGTCTTGACATAGAATAAAAGAGAATTCCCTGGGACCTGTTTTTATTTGGCAGAGGAGAATAAATAAAAGAAAGTTTGTAAGATACTATGCAATATGGAACTGTAAAATAAGAACAACTGAGAAGACTGACAGAAGGCAAATTAAACCAGTGAAGCATGCATACGTCCAAACAACCCGTGATTTCTTTGTACAGATGACTTTCTTCAGATAAGTTATTCTTTTTCTGGCTCATGAAAGTCAACACATTCCCATTTAAACTTGAGTCTGTAAATACGCAAGCAGACGTCTCCCTCAATCTAGCTGCATTGTTTGTGCGTGTTTTGGCAGATGTGAATAACAAGAATACATTCTGCTCTCATTTGTACATTTTTGGTTCCAGAGCTTCATTTTATTTTTGCTGCAGTGCACAAAGAGTATTTATGCACTGAACCAGCTACTGAAGACATAGGAAGAAAACTATTACTAACTTAGACCATTAGTTTATCTGCAGCTGTGTGGGTTCAGTGCTGCTCACAGGACCCTTCCAAGAAGCTGAGAAAACCAAAACATGCATCTTACCAGTTTAAAGCTAAAGCACATCTGCACACATCCATAGCCACACAATGAACACACAAGTCCACCAAAAGCATAAAGACAAAGACAAGAGTAGAGATATCCACATTAGCACAAAAGTGCATACAGTAAACACTCATGGGACATCTGTTTTCTCACTTACAGTGGCAGGTCCTCCATCTAGTTGCCTTCCACCATGATTGGACACAATAATTCCCTGAACCCCATGTCTCACTGCCAGCTCTGCATCTTCTTTCGTCAAGATGCCTTTGATGATGATGGGCAGGCGGGTCAGGCTCCGCAACCAGTAGATATCATTCCAGGTTATTGAAGGATCCAAGCTGTTGGGTGGCAGTCCATACTCAGAACAGTCATCCCCCTTCAGCCATAGGACAGAACAAAACCTCATGAACTGCAGCAATACAGAGGCCCCTTAAAGTCTGTCCCTGCCATGAAACAGATTAATTCAACTTGCTAACAGACATGTTCACCAGCTCCAGAAAGCATGTATCTCCAGAACAGAATAATTACAGTAGGGATGGAGACCAGTGTGTCTAAGGCAGCTGGACTGGGATTTTGGAGCCTGGAGCCAGAAGCCAGGCTGGCAGGAGGTCAAGCCAGGACGCTGGAGAACCAGAAAGGGAGAAGATACTTCCTGGATACAGCAGATGCCAAAGCAGCAGTTATCTGGTGGGGGTTTTTTTGTCTCGTGTGGTACACACCAGCACAGTGAATGAAAGGAGAGGCTCATTTTACAAACCTCAAAGGCTCCTTCCAAGTTCTTCAGTTTCATGTGGGGAGGAAGGCGGAAACCATTGCGGATATCATCACGCCTTTTGCCCGTATAGGGCACATCTGTGGTGAGGACAAGGCCCTGGAAGCCCAAGGCCTCTGCCTGTTGGACCAGCTGCTGGGAAACTGCCCTGTTGCGGTGGATGTAGAGCTGGAACCACCGGATGCCGCCGGGGGCAGCCGCAGCGATCTCTTCCAATGTACAGGTGGAGTACGTGCTGGCAATGTAACAGGTATTCATCGCTGTGGCTGCTGTGGGAGGCATTGGAGAACAATCAGAACCAAAATTATTTGAACAGTCTTGCCAGATACCAGGTACAAAACTGTGTCCTGATTACAGAGACTAATTGGCAGTTATGCCCCCAGGATTAAAAATGGCCATTTTATTATGCACTGTTGTAGGATCATGGTTGAGAAAGCGAGAAGGGATGTAAGTTACCAAGTGGTGCTTTCATTTTACAATTGTTTTTTTTAAAAGCATCAGCTTTATCTTTATGACCCTGTCCATGTAGGAATTCATGTCAAAGGCACTCACTGGAGATGGAAACACATACAGGAAAAAAAACCAAGCCAACATGTCTAGGGGTCAGCCTCCAAATCTGCCACAGGAATTGGGAGGAGAGGTTATCCATTTCTCCAAGGCAGACACTGCTCTTAACCAGTAACAAGGAATTTACAGGCTGAGTCCTATCTACCATGTTTATGTGCTATCTAGAGCCCCCAGGACTAAGTACCTCATATGGCTCTTGATGTAAGTCAGAAATGTGTCCACTGCCTCTGCCTTAAGTTTGCAGCAGCCTCAACAGGGCAGATCTCACAATAGGGGTAGCTGGAGAATAAAAGCAATGTCTAAACAGCTTCCCATGCACTCTGTGTCACCAGACCCACGTGGGCCATCTGTGAAAAGGGGTGTCAGAAAGTGGAAAAGGAGTTTGCCCCTTCAAGCCTGGAGATTCTGTTCAAACACACTTCAGGTCATCCTAACAGCTTCTTGAGACTTTCTCCAGAAACATGTTTTTGCTACATGACAATGAAGCAGAAGAGTACCTCTGGCTGTGCTTTTCTCTCCATCAGGCCATGCTAGCTGATGGAAGCCAGTAGGGGCGATTCCTACAGGAAAGCTGATTTCAGTCCCCAGGAGCTTAGTCCTAATGTCCATCACGGATACATCCCGCAGCATACGAGGCCGGAAACGGATTCTGTAAAGCAGAAAACCCACCCTTCAGGATAATGGCTGTTCAGTGGCATTTCTGAAGTTTAATGGAAACCAGGTCTTCATTTATCTGTTGCAATGCAGGAACCTGAGCCAACAAAGAAAACATCATACAACCAAGGCTCTTTGTCTTTTCTCTTTGCTTTTAGGCATCAATTCAGCCAGTTCAGCCTTCAGTCGCTTCACTTTTCATTAACCTCACACTCCTGCTTACTGGCCACATCATTTTTGCATTTCCCACCTCAGCTCACTGGGTCGTGTTCTCCCATTGTCCATCTCACAGATTCCTTCGACTTGCAGCCCAGCCCAGGTCACAGCCAAGACTTCGGCCTTCCACCACACTGTTCATATGTCTGTCCTCACTGTACATTGTACTTGCTCTCACTCTCTGCAGCACATTCCCCAAATCCCATCCTACTTACAGGTAGACTTCCTGCTGTTTACCAGATGCTCCCCATTACACCTCGTTCTATTACAGCTATTCATCCTCTTTCCTGTCCTGCTATGCCATCCCATCCCATGCCATGCCACACCACGCCACACCACACCATTCCATACAATTCTATACCATACCATACCCTACTGTTTGTTTGTCTGAACCTCAGCATCCTTTACACCTCATACAACCTGTCATTTTCAGCCTAGCATCAGAGTATACTCTGTATGTCATTCCAGTAAGTGCATTTTGCTTCAGGGCCACCCTGAAAACACAAGGTCTTAGGTATTTTGCTTGTGAAGCCCTAACACTTGCACAAAAACATAGTTTTAAAGCTTCTAGTACAACATTTCCTCCTCACATTACCTTTTATATGCCAGGATGTTTTCATCTCGGGTGCTACAGTCATCTGCTCCAGCTGCAAGAAAATCCCAAGCCATCTTGGGTAAATGCTTTTTAGCATAAGCTTCAAAGTCTGCAAGACACACCATAGCCATTGCTGAGAGAGGCTCTGGAAACCTTAAAGAAAAGAGTAACATGGAGCAGAAGTTAGATTCTTCATCTCTCCTTCTCTCTTCCAGGGGCTCTAATGTCACTTAATGCAAACCTTGGACCCATTTGTCTCATAGAAAAGCTGCTGAGAGGTTGTCTCAGTCTATCTAGCCATGCGTCCTCTCCCCTAGTGTGAGGAAAACTTGCAGACGTAGCCATAAGTTCAGGAAGAAGCTTGAATGTTTGTGACCCTCTTTATTCTGTCTGGTTTAGGTCCTCTGCTATTTTGAGACACAGCAATTCTACAATTCTGTCAGAAATTCCATCTTAAAACTAGCTGGGCTATTTGTTCCACTAATTCTCCTCAAAGGTTGTCCCAGAATATCCTGTACTGGATTACCCCTTAGGATGGCTCCCTGACGGAACAACTGGTTATAGAGCACAGCGACTAAATTCAAGCTCATGAAATCTGGAAGCAAGTAAATACAGCGTCTGCATCTAGCCTGCTCCAGCATGAACACATTGTAAAAGTATGTCCAGACTCTGAGTGCAAGTCACTGTCAAGGCCAGCGCTGTGGAAAAACAAAGCATTTTCTACAGATCTTCATTTCTCTTTTGTAGCAAATACCTTCTGGGTGTTTGCATTGCATACTGGAGCACTGATACATACTGAAAAAGGAGCATAGAGAATTTGGGCAGACTAGGAGAAAACTGTCAAAAAGCAAATTCCACAACATGAAACATGATTCTAAAGTCCTCAGCCTTTCAGGGAACAGAAGTGGCATTGGGTGACCCACATGTCCAAATAAACCAACATAAGACCTGTCTAGCAAATGCGTGCATCTCGATGCTTTTGAAAGAAGCAGGCCTAAAAACTATGCAAATGAATGTTTTGGCCAACCATGCCCATGTGTGAGGCAACATGCACAAATCACAGACAAAATCAGTTTGCTAAATCGCTTGTTGCAATGACTTCCACAGCTCAGATTAAAATGGGCGTTGTGCAGAGTGTCTGAAAACACGATGGTTTAAACCAGTGTGGTTTGGTCGAACCTCTTAAAAAGGTCCAGGAAGAAGTAAATATCCAAGATTTCAGGATTAGCCTACCACCTCTGATTAGCAGGGGTTGCAAGGGAACCAGAACCCGTTCCATGTGTCCAGTGTTGCGCACTTCTGGCAGAGAACATATATGTTACATACACAGATGTTATGTACACAGATCCAGCCTTTCAAACTGAGACATGGATATGTCTCACTGACTCTGCATATACTTGAAAATCAGGGTTCTTAATTCCCAGCTAGGAAAGAGCCCAAAATGAGGGACTGTCTGGAAGATGAAGAAATGTGACTCTCTTTGGTATTGTTTTATCTCCTCTGACAGGCATTAGGTAGTAGGTGATAAAAATATCCCAAACCCTCTCTGTATGACTTCGAGAGATCAAGCACTGCTGATAGCACAAGTCTTTGTATATCCCACATCATGATATACCATAAACCACGTATCATGACTTCTGCTCTTCCAACTGTTCAGAAGGTCAAAGGTGGCAATCAGAAAAAGATAAACCAAGTCCTCTCATGGCAAATAAATGGGAAATTTAAAGAACCCAGGCCCAGACCTCATAATCTCCCAATTCAGATTTAAGCTCAGACTTACTTTGGGTTTCAGGGAGAGCTGCAGGTGGTAAGATCCTCTCCTTCAAACTCACCTGCGAACAGGATGTAGAGGAGCTCTTTTCACTGAGTAGCTGCTGTTTTTAACAGAGTCAATAAGCAACCACCAGAGATTAAAGCTCAACCCTGCAGTCAACTTTGTACTGTTTGTATAACACTGGATTTGTTTTGCTATCAGCTGATTAAAAATTCCTTCCAAAACCATGCATCACCTTGTCAGCAGCACTGGAGCTGTGCTCCTTAGCGGTGTCTGAAGGCTGTGCATTCCTTTAGGGGAGCAGCAGGATTTCAGTGGGTTTGACTGCATCTCTACACTGTTGGTAACTTGCTGCTGAATGTGTTACAAATCCCACCAAAAGGATGATCCACAGGCAGTGTGAGTTGTTACAGCCCATAGCTGCAGAGCCTTGAATCTTTACCACCATTTGTGGAGGAGGCATTTTCCTTCCTACAGTATATGAGCAAATGAAGTACCCTCTTGTCTTCTGCCATTCTTAAAGGACTACGAGTGCTCTCATGATCCAGTTTCTCTCCCACTGAGCTTGCAGATTCCCTCCTTTGGCTCCCCAACCAGTCCTCTCCCAGGAGGACCACCCATCCTCTCCCTTTCCTGTGCTTGGAGCTGGTGAGACTTCTCTTAGCTTCCCTCCTTTTCTCCTGCTAAGTGTTATAAACCGGGACTGAGGTGACAACAGATTTATGGTCTTGACTTAAATCTGCAAGATATGAAAAGCAAACACTGGACAGTTTTATTTGACCTTTGTTTTTCTTAGTTTTTAGGGTTCGTGCTTTCAGATTTTCCATGAGAGCTTGAAACTTTGATTTTTACTAACGGACAATGAGCGTATTTTTCTCATAAACATACGATACCAGCTGCAGAGGGTGAGGCAGAAACTCCTGAAAACATTCCCAAAGTCTTACCAGGATTGTTGCTCTCCCCACCCAAGCTGCCAAGTGAGCCAAAGGACTGGGAAAGAGCTGGAAGCTGAACAGAGCTTCAGCCTCAGGACCTTGTGTCCAAGAGGCTGGTCTGATCCAGGACTGCAGAAATCCTAGGTCACTGACACCTATTCTTCTGTTGGGTGTATTCATGAGGCTCTGCCCAAACTGTGCCATGCATGACCATCTATACTAATGCTTTTGAAACTCTTCAGACTTCAGCCTTCAGGGCTCATGCTCTCCATTAGCACTGTGAAGCCTGATTCTGGCATCTAGCTATGGATGCGGGTGTCAGTCAGAAGACAAGGTGACACATAGCTGGAGTGCTCATGACCTTTTTGGTTCGCTTTGCTGCCCGTGCTGCAAACAGCCTTTGGGTCACCTCTAAAGAGAAGAGCAAAGTCTCACACCAGGGAGGGCATCCCTGGGAAGAAAAATCCTGCTCTCATTCTCCGTCCACTAGATGTCAGCTTTGGGTCGTGGATATTCATCTATGATGTTAGTAACAAAACAATAAAAAAATCAGTACTTGATGGCCTGCCAGCCACTTTGGCCTTAAAACTGATATGATCACGTCCCAAGAGTGCCTGCTAATATGTTTGGAAATCTTCATTCCCTGTGCTTTATTCTTAACGTTTTCTGGTGTACAGCCTAGCAATAAATGCAGATACATCTGGTCTGGCCTGATCTTCACCTTAGCCTACAAGTTATCTGCAGGGTCTCCTGTTGTATATCTCATTATGCTGGTCTCAGTACTCCTTTACTTGAGGGATTCAAATTGGAGCCTCCTCACCAAACCATAAAGTTTATGGTTTCATGGTTATCATAATTTTACATGGATTAAAAATAGTCAGTGACTACTGTATTTCGGATCAGGAGAGGGGGAAAATCTCTACTTTTGTGCTGTGGCTTTTGAGAGACTGTACTTTGCATCTAGCTATATTCTCTCCCTTCAGCCATGGACTCAATTCAATGTAGAAATGACTTCTCGTCACTATGTAAGGAGTGTTTTTTGGATACTGGTAACATGGATTTAACTGTGAAGCACTAAAGTTCTAAAAAAATCAGAATTTGCCACAGAGACAATAACTTTTATTGGAGCTCCTGCTATATACTTGAAAAAAAAGTGGTCAAGTTTTCATTAGAGGACAATAAGACTTAAAAATACTTTCTACAGACTTCACTGGAAGCCTTGCTGCCTCCTTTTGAAGAGTGAAGAAAACAGTAGGATATACTCACACATCTGCTCCAGCCTTGCAGGTAGGGTCAAGCACAGCCAACAGCTTGACTTTTGCACAGATCAGCATAGCTGGGCTTTTGCAGTTGCTTATTTTTCAATACAAGAATAGTCAAAGGCTCGTGAGCCCAAACACAAAGATCCTGTGTAAATCTGGGCTCCAGTTCCTCTTAGAATCACAGTGTTCATTACTGCAGTGGGTTATATTTTGATTGCCTTCTCACAGATGGCAAACCACCATGGGTCAAGCTGACATTTACCTCACTGATGCACCAATGCCATGGGTTCAGTCTGGGACTTTACAATGCTTCAGTGAAGAATCTGGTAAACTCTTAAGCAATGTAAATAACTTGGATCATGTAACAGTTTGAGTACAGCAACCATTGTTTTTCCTTATCACATGTCTGTCTTGGGCCCATGCCCCATGTTTGGAAGGAAAATGTTTTTTTCTTTCATGTCAGTCACGCAAGAAAGTTTTCCCAAAATTAAATACTTAAATAGCCATTCATCTATTATAGGTGGAGATGGCAACAGATCTTGTATTTAACGTTGCCTAACACTTTTGATTATAAGATCCAATTTTCAGTTGCTTTTAATTTTGTCATATTTTAATCATTCTAGGCTGAAATTTTCCATCCTCAATTTTGGGCTGAAGTTTTTTGGGAATGTTTCACTGAAAGCCAGTCAGCAACATCCAAGAATGAGGTTATTGAAAACTATGGTGGTTGGCCGGTGTGGCCCATGCTGAAAATGTCTTACAGTGGTTTCCCTGCAGTTCAGTGCTTCATGCAGAGGTTTGAAATGAGCAGGGGCTGATCCCTGGGGGCATCAGCCTGTACTTGCTGGCCATATGAAAATCCAGCCAGATCTGACCTAGCTGTAAATCACGGCTCCCTGCTTGCACATGCTCAGCAGAGCTTGTCTGAAATCCAGATGTTATCTTTACTGAAGACTTAACTAGCACAGAGCATGCTTCTGCCCACAGTCAGAGCAACTCTGAAAGCCCCAAATAGGAGCACAGGGCAGAGAGCAGGCCACCCTGGACTCTCCCACCCCCTCATGCCACCAGTGTTTGGTTTCATCCTTAAGGAAGAGGGGAGAAGGAATTGAAAAATAATGGCTCTAAGGAGGGAGGAGCTGCTGGACAGGACCTAGGGACAGGCATGGTGGGATATGCAGAGGTGTTAAGGTCAGAGACAGAGCAGACTGGAGTAAAACAGGCAGGGATATGGCAGGATGACAGGATTTCAGGGGGATAGAATAATCAAGAGGAGACAGGTTTGGGGAAAATGCAGAAAGGGACAGCCTGTGACACAGTGGGCAGAAAGAGTCCTGGGAGACTACCAGATATTTAACCACCCACCTCTGTCTCCAAAACCCAGAAGAGAGCTTGGTTTATTCTCAGCATTACTCTGCGGAACAGCAAATAGCTACAGAGCCCTTTGGGAAAACGGGTCTCATGTATCCCTAGTGTTAGAGCCTCAAAAAGGACAAGTGTTTCCTGCTAGCAGATGACTCCTCAGGACCATGCAGTGGAGCTCTGTACTGTGTCTTTGCAAGTCCAGTCATGTAAAGTTTCACATCTCTTGTGTACTGTCACATGTGTTAAAATGTCATTTCTGAGCTTTTCTTTCTCGCTTACCTGATATGCCAACGTCACCTAACTACAAGCCTTCCGATAAAGTTGCTCCATCTCACACTGACATCTGCATTGGCATTAGAAAAAGGGTCAGAAGCAGATGAGGTTTAACTAGCATGCCTCACAGAACACCAAGCGAAGATCTGCTAAACCAGTAATAACAGAACACAGTGAGATTGATGGATGCAAAAGCAATTGGGTCTGGAAAGAAACACCGAGGCTGCTAGTCCACAGCCAGTTCATTGCTGGTAACACTGCATCGGCACAGCACCCCTGCTTCCAGTCTCTGAGCATTCAGAGCTGTCCTGGACATGACCACCTCACTGGTACTAAACTTTGTGCTCTGCACCCTTGGCTGTAAAATAGACATTACTTTGATAATATGTCCAGAACTGGTTCAGCTGGAATCAAGCTAATAGTTTGGGAGGAAAGATCACATCAGGATTTGATGCATGAGACCCAGCAGTGTTGTGTGAGGAGTCATGGGCTGCAGGTAGGGGTGAGGGAGGGTAGCAGTGTCACAGGCTGAGCACACAACTGTACAAAAGAGAAGTTCCAGAGTCATACAGCATTGCTCATCTCAGACACGAATCTATGATCACTGTTAAGCAAATAACTGCACAAATAAATACAAGATGCAAAATAGGTGTAAGGGCATGAAGTGAGTAAAAGTTAGGGAAGAAGGAGCACAGATGCTGTGCTTCCCAGAACACAGATTGGTTCTCACTAGCTGCTGCCAAAGCTGCCTCCAAAGACACTGAGCTCACACAAGGTGGAGCAGCAGAGGAGCTCAGTCATGACTCGGCTTTCAGTTTTCCCCTTGATGTGCATGTGCAACTATTCCTGTTAAAGTCATGGAGTCAGAGGCAGCTGGATATGACATTAATCATGATACACCCTTATGTAGGTTTAGCTACAGTTTATTTTGTCCATAACCTTACCTGGCCTACTAGGCCAGCTAGGCTGGCATAGCTGTCCAGGCTTTCTCTCCCTTCTCTGCCTGGTTTTTAAAGACTGTAGTACCCTGGCAGTAAAAGAAGCAGCTCACTGAAATCCATAGTGCAGAATAGAAACAGAAACAAGAGGTACCTGGGATCTGCACCCTTTAAGATGAAGAATATTACGGCCTTGTTGTCCCATTTCCACTTTATAAACTGGGCAAAGTCCCGATAACTGCCAGCTGCAGTAGCAGTGTTGCTGCTGTATGACCACCACTCAGGAATCAGTGAGGACTAAGTATTCATCTGCCATTGCATAGCTGCCATCGAAGAACAGAAAAGTAGGGCTCAGAGGAAAAGCCATC